ATTCAATTTATAATTTTTACCCTTATAAAGTCACAATAAAGGGACCATGTTTCAAAAAAGGGGGTATTTTAGTCAAGAAAAATCCAGAAATTTTAGAGTATTCAATTTACAAATTGTACCCTCACAATAAAGAGACCATATTTAAAAAAAGGGTATTTTGGTCAAGAAAAATTCCAAAAATTTTAAAGGCTGTTTGTACTTTTTATAGTAGTATAAATATAGGAGACTAATAATATAATAACTCTCTTTCAAAGTCGGTGATAACTAGCGAGAGATCCAAATCCGCACCTCTGCTCAAATAAACCAGCTAACTTACTAATTGAGTCACATCTCAGTTGACTACATGTATCCCTGTTGGGTAACCAGAGCCACGCACCTAGCTTTAGCTTAGAACTAGCAAATGCTGCGTAAATAATGCAACAACATGATTTGCTTGAAGGCGGATTCTTGTTGGGGTTCCATTTTTGAATCCTGCTAATAGGCACGACGCTCTTGTTCCCAATTTGGTTCTTAGTTTTCTAATACTGGACGTCTGTCTCTGGACCTAACGTGAAAATAAGAAGGAAAAATTTATGACAAGAAATCAGTCCGGGATAATAGTCGAACCCCAAAAAGAGACAATATATATAGTGAGTGATACCTACAAATTTAATTAAAGAGTTATGATCCACCCACTCATCCAGCCAGATAGGCATAGCTTTAAAAAATAAACAAACAAACAAACACTTCTTTAATCCTTTACGTGCAAGCTTATGCACTAGATGTCTAGAACATTACCCTCCCTTCTATCTAAAGGAAAAGGAAACATCAAGACCATCACAACTATAGCTAAAATATTTTTACAAAAAAAAAGTAAGCATCTTTAATTAATTGCTGTAGGCCCACGATCCTCCTATAGCATTTCAAGCACCCTCCACAGAAAATGTTTAATCCTTCGAACAATTTTTAACTTTAAGTTTAATACTAAGGATTTGATTTGCAACTTCAATTTTCCAACTTCTTTTATCCTGATCGATCAAGTCTTTCACCTATATTAAATCTTCATTCAAGGGCTTAGGTCTCATGATTCTAAAGTTTTGAGACTCCCCTAATTAGGGTTGAGCAAATGGGTAAATTCTATTTGTAACCGACCTTAAACCGGCATTGAGTTGACCCTACCCAATCTGTTACAGGGTAGGGTCTGGTTCCAAGTTATTGGAACCAACCTCCACCCAGGCTGGTTCGAGGGTCTAGGGGTTTACCCTATCCAAACCAACTCAATGAACTGACCTTGGAACCAAATTTATTTTGAAATAAACCCTAAATTATTTTTGAGGATGTGAAGATTTGAATCCAAGCACTCATAGTTACAAAGGCTATGGTCTCACTTGACCATTGAGTTATTCAAGTGATTTGATCATTTGTTTTCATTTTAATATTTGAATGTATATAATAAGTAATGTAAAAGGCAATATTTACAAAATTTAAATTATAATGAAAAGCTTTGAACTGTATATTAATATATTATGATAACCTACGTATTAAATTACTCAATTTAATCAATAAAGATGAAATAAATTTTAAACTATATATTATATTTATTGAAAATCAAGTTTGATCCTTTTTTTTTTCAAAATTAATCTCTCTACCAATTAGGGCACTTTGCTTGTCCCAAGAACCTTTCTTCTATAAATTATCATTTAGGAAACTTTTACCTTTTATATATTTTGACGTACTAGCTCTGACCCATAGGTTATTCTCTTTTGTGCACACCTTGTATGTTTGTTTTGCTAGGAGAGCTAAGTTAAAACAATAAGGCTATGTTTGGTTTGAAGGAAAAGGTAGGGAAAGGAAGGGAAAGATAGGAGAACCTGTACAAGGTTTGTAAAGGTTTTCCTACCTTTCCCTTCATTTTCTTGCATTTTCCTTCAAACTAAACATAGCCTAAGGGTCTCTAAGTCAAGACCTCCATCATTTTTGTCTGTACTTGTATTCTCCCAAAGAATCCAAACCAACGTTTTTGAATTTTTTAAGATTCCCACAAAAGTTTCCTTTGAGTTATAGTGCAAAAAAAAATGAAAGTTCTAATTATTAAACAAAAGTAATTTAATCATTTGTTTTCATTTTAATATTTGAATGTGTATAATAAGTAATGTAAAAGGTAATATTTACAGAATTTAAATTATAATGAGAAACTTTGAATATATATATATATATATATATATATATTATGATAATCTACATATTAAAATACTAATTTAATCAATAAAGATGATATAAATTTTAAACTATATATTATATTTATTGAAAATCAAGTTTGATCCTTTTTTTTTCAAAATCTCTCAACTAGTTAGGACACTTTGCTAGCCTCAAGAGCATTTCTTCTACCTGACACCACCATAGGGTTTGTTATTACTCTTTTAAGTGAAGAGTACATTACATCCACAGCCTCAAATAGTCGCACAATTATTTTTCTTATAGAGATGATAATAGTGGGATTCAAAGCCGCACCACGGTTGGAACAATTCATCCAACGCACCAACTGGGCTATCCCTCGGGTTGGTCCATGAACCTTTCTTCTATAAATTATCATTGAGGAAACTTTTACCTTTTATATATTTTGCTCTACTAATCCTAACCGGGGATGTCAATGGGTTAACCCGACTCGGGTTAGGGTCAGCATATTTGGCTTTAGCATTGGGTTAGGGTTTTGATTCTTCAACATGAGTTGAATTTGGCCGGGTTCGTGTTTTGGCTGATTTGCCTCATCATGTCATGATGACCTGCATATATACAAAGTATTATTGTAACTTTTTTACTTCTAACCCTATAGCCTTAAACTTTAAGATTTATTTAAATGTTGGTTTTGATTTTTTCTTTTTTTTTTTTAATGGGAAAAGTGATATCTTAGGATCTATAAAGCAATTTTCTAACTTAAATTAATGGATTTAAAGTCTTCAAAACATGTTAAAGAAATACAACTAAAATGCTACGGGTCGGTATCGAATTAGGGTCAGGTTAGGGTTGGGCCTGTGCTCAACCCAACCCGTTGGCATCCTTAATCCTGACCCTTAGGTCACTATCTTTTGTGTACACCTTGTACGTTTTGCCAGGAGACTTAAGTTAAAACAATAATGAGTCTCTAAGGCTATGTTTGGGAGTGCTTAAAAATAAGTGTTTATTTGATTCATTAAGCACTTATTGGTATTTGGTAAATAAGTGGTTATTTTAAAAATAAGGGCTTATTTTTTAATCTCAAATTTTTAGCTTTTTTAAGTGCTTTTACAATAAGCAGTTATTCAATTTTTTTTCTTCCAAAATTGTTCATAGTTGAATTTTAAAATACCACCTATAAAATTATCCCTAGTTGAATTTTATTAAAGCACTTTTACGAAAGTATTTTTATGAAATCACTTTACGAAAGTACTTTTATGAAAGCACTTTTATAAAACTACTTTTATGAAAGTACTTTTATAAAAGTACTTTTATGAAAGCACTTTTATAAAAGTACTTTTGTAGAAGTCTTTTCATAAAAGTGCTTTAATAAAAATAATTTCTTAAAAGTGCTTTCAAAGGGTATACTTTAAAAATTTAAAAGAAAATGAAAGACAAAATAGTCACAAATGCTTATTTGAGTGTTTATTAGAGAAAAAAGACTACCAAACACCCAATATAAGATAAGTGCTTATTTAAAAAATAAACACTTGAAAAAGTTGGGTGCCAAATACAAATAAGTACTTATTTGAATAAACACTAATTTTTAACCATTTATTCAATAAACACTTATTTTTTAACTTAAGCACTCCCAAACATGGCGTAAGTCAAAGGCATCCATCATTTTTGTTTGTACTCATATTCTCCCAAAGGATCTCCAAAAAAAACCAAAGAAAGTTCCAGTTATTTAGCGCAAAAAAATTCCGTTGCCGGGATTTGAACCCGGGTCTCCTGGGTGAAAGCCAGATATCCTAACCAGGCTGGACGACAACGGATGATTGCTAAATTTTATCTAATTTGTTTCCAGTTCAATTTTATTTGTGATCACAACATTCACAACAAAAAATGGCAACCGAGCCGGAAGAAACTATTAGCTAGACTTCCAAACATCTCCATCGCCAAAGGTGATAAGTTCCTTCTATCTGATCTTTTATTTCCATCAGAATCACATGGCTTTCTGAGTTCTGACACGAATCTCGGTCATGGTTTAAGTGAAAAACTCCAGAGTTCGAATTCAGGTAATTAGACCTCTGCAGGTTTCCATTCATATATAATAAGAGCAGAGCCCAAACTGAGTGGGTTACCCAACGAATAATGAAGCTTACATTTATGAGTCGGCTAGATTGAAGCTGGACTCTTAATTACATGGAGAAAATGATTTAACCATCCATGGAAATTTGCTTGCAAAATCAGTCTTCAGTTAAATGAATTTATCAGTTATCACCCCTCCAAAGGAGTTATTATTGGGGTAACGGGGTTTCTACACCACATTCAAGCATAGATGTTTAGTTTTGTAAGTTGAACAGTTGAATAAGAAAGCATTATTCATCAGAAATATGACCTGAAAAGCACATGAGGCAATGTTTTCATTTTAGAAAATAAAATATTATTCTCGTAGCTGAATCACTTCTTATACAATGTATAAACCATCTCATACAGCTAGAAGCTTAGCAGTTATAATTGACACCTTTAATTTCGAGGTCTTCTCCTAAACCCTGCAAAGAAGCAAAAGCTTGAGGATTTTAAGCACGATCGATCTCTGCACCCTCTTCAATCTATCCTTCCAGGGGTGGAGAACATGCTCTATTACTCTATAAGCACTTCTCTTAAGAATGTTAATTAGAGAGAAACTACTCTCTGTAGAAATATCCTGGGGTTTCCATCCATATTTTAGTCTATTAGAAAAGACAAGTATGGAAGTTCTATCAAGCAATTAATACTTAACAAAAACATGAGACTGTGGTTAGATTAGGGCAGATCCCAGTTTTGATAAGCGTCGATCCTTTGTGAATATCTTTCAATAAACATTAGATTTCAACATAAGTTCAATATGATTCATATGTAACTGATACATATATCCAAGTTATTGCAGAAAAAAGCCAGAGCCAACAGAGCTCATCGTTATTGAACATAGGAACTCACTTTGAGAGAGAAATAGGCACCAGAAGGAAAGTAGGTGCTTTATTTAACATTATTTTCTCTTCCTTGAGTAGAAATAGCATAGTGAGTTATGTGGATCACATCTTCAGGCCTTGAAGGTGGGTGGGTTTTGTTCCTCATCCGCAACTGTTGGTATTCCTTGAACAAGAACCCTTTGTACCTGGGTGGCTGTCCAATCTCCTTGGTGAATTGGGGCAACGGTTCAACCCATTTGTTTTCCACCAAGTTGTAGAAGAAGGCCAACGAGTGACGACTTTCTTGTTGCCTGACCACTCTGTGAGTTGAGCTCTTAAACTTGTTATTGCTCAGTACCTACTTTCAAGAAGTTTACAAACATGGATCAAAGAAAAAATGAAGCCATGTATTAGGAGTGTTTTCATTGTTAAAATGCAGCCAAACAAATAGATCATAGCATAAACTGTCTACTCAGATGTGAGAGGATGACTGTTATAGTGTTATATATCCTCTCCTGATCAGATGGGGTTGGTTCCATATATAATTCCTAGCTCGTTCGATCTCTGAATTACCTGAATAACGTCTCCTACATTGACAACGATAGTACCCTCAGTCGGAGGCACTGGAATCCATTTTCCATCCTTGAGGACCTCCAGCCCACCAACGTTGTCCTGGAAAAGAAAGGTGATGCAGTTCCCATCTTCATGTTCGCTTAACCCATTGTTCTCAGTCTCTGTTGCAGGGAAATAGCGTAACGCCACCATGAAATCACAGCTCCTGTCATGGTTGTATTCCTTCAGAAAATTAGGAGGGAGACCCAAGCACTCGTTCAATATGCTCTCCAGAAGCAATCCCATCTTGGCGAAGTGGGAGAATATCTCTTCCAATACTTCCCTGGCAACACGTACGAAAGAGCGCAGTCGTCAGTGGCCATCGGAAATTAAGAAATCCCATGCTTTTAGCACCTAGATATGTCTGGTTTTATTTACCACGAACACAGTACTAGATGGAGTAGTGTGCTGGCCATTCTCATCAATTAGTTACAGAGTCTGTGAGTTTCTATTGTAGTTAAGTGATCAATTAGTAAACAAAGTAGAGAAAAAAAAAAGAACAAAAAAAGCAGCCGTCGAGTAAACATTTTCTTCTACACTAGCTTATTGCCTTGAAGCATCTGCAATGGCTTTGGCTTGGAACATATATACCTGAACTCGGGTGGATCATTAGGATAGACGTTGAAACCTGATCCAGGAGGGAACATCAATAGGTATTCATTCTTGTCGGCTGAGTGCTCTGGTTGACGGTTGTAACCGGCCGGAAGAGGAACTCCAGACCCAGGACCAGGACCATACTTAAGCTTCTCCTCTTTTGGGTACTCGAAAAACATCCTAGAAAGCTCAAGGACCCGGTTCATCAGATTGAGAGGCACACAGTGGTTCACGACCTGGAAGAATCCATACTCAGAGCATGCTTCACCAATTATCTGTTTGACCGCATTCTTGCCATCTTCATCTCCTTCGTTATGGAAGGGAGAGAGATCTACAGTTGGAATGCAAAGATTAGACATCCCGAACTCCCGACGGCTGAAAATGGTTAATAAGTTTTAAGTGCTCTAATATACAACTCCATGGCCAAGGCTCTACTTATAGAGCTACAATGGAATTCAACTTAGATAATGACTAACAGAAACAAATGGGTCAGTTACCAAAAAATAAAATAAAACAAAAGAAAAAAAAAATGGTCAGTTCAACCAATTGCTGTCAACCTTCTTGATTATTTCTTTAATATCATTCTTTCCCCTATTAAAGCACGAGCATCGAGCAACCACTCCAAGTCCATTTGGTCAACTTTTTCTCACTCTTTTTCTTCATTCTATTGAAATCAAACATTTCTTTCTAATTAAAAATTTGATATGAAATTTACCAGTATTTTTACAATAAACAACTCATAAAAAGCCCGAAGCCCGAGCCTGGGCCCGGGCCCGAAATTTACCCTATATTATTATTATTAATGTTGAAGCAGCTGAATAAAGAGAGAGATATATTGAAATTATAAAGAAAAGAATAAAAAATATATATATATTAAATTATAAATATATATTTTAATAAATATTATATTATTTATATATTTTATATAATATATAAAATACATATTATATATTTTATAAAATATATAATACTGAGTCGGGCCGGGCCGGGCTTTTTTGACAAATCCCGAGCCCGGCCCGAAACACAGTCGGGCTTACTGTGTTAAGCCCGAGGTCAGGCCCGCGGGCCTAATTATATGACCAAGCCCGGCCGGGGTGCAGGCCGGGCCGGGCCAGACCGTCGGGCTACCCAGCCCATGAACAGGTCTACACACCAGTAATAAATTCATGGCCCCCTGTGAATTCATGGGCCCTATGTATTTTATTACTGACGTGGAACCTCGTCATTGGTTCCATGGCCCGCCAAACAGCCAAAACGTTCAGCTAATCCAACTTATTTTCTCATTAACTCGTATATATATGGTATTGATTCTCATTGTCTTCTACCAAAAAAAATTCAATACATATTATCTCTCATTAATTCCTATATTTAAGATATTTCTATTTCTTGCTATTGAATTCTTTTAGTTAACTCTTTATCCCATAGGTATAATATAAAAGCCAATATTTTTGCTTTTCACCATTAAGAAACCAATACAAGCCAACTCAAAACTGAAACCTTACTTCCATATAAGTGGTGGGTTATCGGTTCAACCATCAAAGCCAAACAGGTCAACTCTATGACATCATTATAAAATTAAAAAAAAATAAAAAATAGATAAAATATAAAAAACAGAAATCTTGTAGAAATAATAGGAATATTTTTAATATTATATATTCATCATATTAAACAGAAACAAGCATGATAAATAAATAAAAAATATTTTTTAACAATATAAATGGAATATAAAAATTAAAAGAAAAAAGAAAATTAATATTTAATCCATGACCATTGGTCAGGTTAAATGGTTCAATGACATGACTGACTAGGTCACTTTGGTCACCTCTTTTATGGTGCTGGTTGATTGGCTGTAGGTTTTTTTGGTATCATGTCTTTCCGATATCATAATCGAACCCATAAAACAATGTTGGCTGTTGCTAAGGCTCAGTTTGGGAGGAATACATATACATGTATAGTGCAAAACAAGGTTTAAAAATACAATACATATTTTTGCCTTGTATTTTGTGCATATTTTTATTTGTATTCTTCCCAATTTTGAGAAAAGTGCAAATACATACAAAACAAATTACAAAGTTTTACACTCTTTTAGAGGCTTGATCTTAGAAACCTTCATTGCTTCATTATTGTATTCTTAGTTGGCTATATCTGCAGAAACCAATACTGAGAATGCAATACCAATATGTTTTCTGTTTTAGTTAGCAGTCTTGCATATCTCATAGATCTCCACCATAGGTTTTTGTTATCATCATGTTGATTTGAAAACAACAAGTCTTGGACTGAACATGGTGGCAATGTATCGCATTCTCCTTTTTGATCGATCAATAGTATTTAAGATGATAAGATCAGAGCATATTGAATCAACCAGACTTTAACTATGAATTTTCTTAGGTGGGTATCACTAAAATCAAATTTTATTTACATTTTTTTTATTTTATTTAAGCCAAGCCTCACAAATGAATGTTATGTACAGGAAAACAAATTAATATTACTGGCAAAAGGTAAATTGTATTGATCCCCATTTGATTTCTATAATTTGAATTGGATTGGATTCCTTCAGGACTTGGACTTAATTGTGGACCTGTTGGTTAGTCAAATCCATATAACTACAAAGTGAACAATTAAGGAGAAATAAAAGCAAAGTGGCATTGTTATTGTTATTCTTTTTTGGGTGGTAAAATATTATAGAGGGGATCTCGATCTATTTTGGATAAAGATAATTGGGGAGGATGTAGTAAGGAATTTTACCCATCCAAACAAAAAATAGTAAAGAAAAGGACGATAATTAATGATGAAATGAACTATTGTGACTCGCTAATGGAATCTTTGGTGTGTTTACATTTATGGAAACGTTTAATTGGTTGTCGCGACTGAGAAGAGAAAAGGTGAATATTCTTCGAATATTTTTCCTTTTTTGCATTTAGGGTTATTCACAAATAATGTTAAATCGATTAAACCGACCAAATCGGCCTGGCCCAATCTGATTTGGTCGGTTTTTCTTCACTATCAGTCGGTTTCAGGTTGTGAAGAGGGATAAACCGATAATTCGGTTCGATCGATTTCAGTTTTCATGTGTGAAAACTAAACCTGAACCAAATTGAATCGAGTTAGTTAGTTTTTGGTTTCCTAATCTTTCCCTAACTAGGTAATCCTTATCCTAATTTATTCTTTCTAATTAGTTACTTATTTTTAACATTAAAGAACAATAAAACATTAGTTAAATAGGAATTACTTTTGTCTTTAGGATTGCTTTCCATTTTTGAGTAGGAAATTTTACACCAAATATAGGGTTATTCACAAATAATGCCAAATCAACCAAACCGACCCTTCATGTTTGGATCGTTTTGCTTAATGGCAGGCCAGTTTCGATTTACTCTTTAAATAACCCGACCAGGTTGGGTCAATTGAAAAGAATCTATTATACCGACCCACCCGACCCGCAAATCTCTTTTTAAATATTAATCATATATGGTATTTGGATTTAATTTTTATAATTTAAAATATAATATTAAGTTGACACATTAAAAATATAAAAATTAAAAAGCTCCTACAATCTTTTATATATATATATATATTACATACTTAAACCGTATAGAATACACGTGATTCTGACTATGGTAGAACAGGATGCACGTGGGGCCTATTACGCATGCTATCGAGGCATGGACAGTAGGCCATGGTTCTGACTTCTGAGAGTGTTAGTGACCATTTCAACAATTGGGTCATCCACAAAGAAAACTACAACTTGGGGCGTTATGAAAATATTTTTATATCCAAACAGGTTAATACAAATTGAATAGGTTTTAAATAATTGACCAAGTAGTGGAAACTCACGTGGTTTAACAATAGTTTATGATTATCTTTTTTAAGAATAATTTATTCTTCTTCATTTTTTGGTTCATGGGGCTACATACAAACAAGGGTAGCCCATTCCCCAAACCCATAATCTCTGAGCCACCATCTATTTATACAACTTGCCCTTACCAACTTGGTTCCTATACTTTCGAGCATAGCTTTGGTGAATTATGGATCAGATTTAATGAGTCATGTCAAAATACAAAGCTCTGGGTTGTAAATGGATCATTGAACTCATGCATGTATATACCTACATTAACGATGCAATTTATGAAGGATTGGATTGGGAATTTATTAAATTTTCAATAGACCTTTAACCCTAATCCCAACTCAACGTATTTAAAAATTAAAATACTTCAAGTGGGGCAACTCAACTTGCAGCCCTAATCCAGATCTATGTTGATTAAAAAAATTGGTATATTCAAATGGGGTTGTAATTGGGTTAGATTTGGATCGATTCTACTTACAGCTGAATTTATTCCAATTATTAAGGGGCATTCTACAATGTGAATTGTTTTTTTTGTTACTGGTTCCAAAAATAATTCAAAACCTTCTGGTTTGAAAACAGACTGTTTCTCAAAACAAAAACAGAAAAAATATGTTCTTGGTTGTGTGTTTGTTTTATGTTTTCAAAACTGAAACCACAAACATGTTTTGAATCTGGTTTGAAAAACATATTTTCATTTGAATATTTAACTTCATGTTCCATAAATCATCTAATTTCTATACTAAAAATTTTGTTTTTGTTTTAAATACCAATGTTTTGTTTGTTTGTTTTTTTCTGATGTGGTGATTTCAAAAACAAATGAAAATAAAAGCATTCATGTTGTAGAATGCCCCCTAAATCTTAAATCCAAATCTATAAAATTTATGGGTCTTAGATTAAAATTGACCAATATTAAATTCAAATCTTAAAATTTGTGTCCACATCCAATCAGATTTTGGACTCATATTGCATTTATTAAGGCTTGAATTTTTTAGGCTGACGCTCAACTTGCTATTAACACTTCATGATATGTGTTTGAAACGGTAGACATTTATTCATCCGTTTATTGACACTTAGGCGCCACTAAATGCCATTAGGCACCACATCACCAAAACAGTGAATAAACTCCTATATGCTACATCCCTAATAATCTTTAATAATTAAAATTGGGCAATGAAGGCTACCACTCAACTTATTTTCTTCCCATGTTCACCCCCCTGCTCTTGTGGAGAATGAATGAGGAAATCAGCATGTATCATTCATTATTCTTACATCCCAAATACTTGTATAATTTGCAAAGTAGAATAGTAGAAAAATGAAGAGGAGAATACTCAAATTGTGAGAGAAAGCAGATGGTCAAGCATGCTTGATCATCAAACTTGAACCGTTACTTCTTTACCGGAAAAGAACCTAGACCATTACTGATATGTACTTGGTCATGACTATAATATTTAGAAACTCAGATTCCTCACAGCCACTTGCAGTTATGCATCGGAAATATCTTTTCATAAATAAAAATATATAAATACAGAGATATTCCTAAAAAGATGAAAGGCAGAGACATGAAACAATAAGAACACGAATTTGAATATTTCTATTTTCTACTGTTTCACAGTTGACTGATCCAAGTTTAAGAATGTCCCTATTGGATGGATGTTCTTATATTATAGGGGTATAAGCGTACAATTGTTGCTCCACGCTGAGTTACTACCCGACCTTAGCTTTTGAACGAGTTGGGCTAGTATTTTGGGATATGGTTAGGTCCTGCACTCAAAAGCTTGGACTGAGTTAGGTTGGGTTGGCGTTTTGGCATAGTTTGGAAAGAGTGCAAATACAAATGTTCCGTACAGAACCTTATATACATATTTGAATAATTGTATTTGCATTTTGAACTCTTCCGAAACTGAGCCTTAATTGAGGGCGCGAAACTGATCCTGGCTTAAATATAACATACTAAATAGTTCTTTTTGGTGAAATATACATATTAAACTACCCTTCTATTATATAAAAAATCATCTATTAATAGGGTTTTATCATCCATTTATTCTTTCTTCATTGTAAGCCTCAACCAACATCCCCGCCAGCCTTGTTAATCAATTGGGCTTGGGCTTCACATTGAGTTGAGTGTCATTCAGGACGGGACTTAATTCTCAGAGTTGGATAATGGTTGGGTCAAGCCCAATGGAACCAACCCAAGTTGCGTCATAAACTTGGAACTTTGCATTGCCAGACAAGCTCTAGAGATTGAGTTCCTTTTGAGGATTTTTATAGCTTGGATTCTGAGGGTTGTGGGGGAAGACTATAGAATTTTTTTTTCATACTGTAACTGTGTTAGTTTTCTTCGTTCCGTTGTTTGTTGGGTGTTGTTCTTGTTTTTTTTTCTGCTTTGGTCACTGTATCTGTTTTCGTGTTTTCTCTCATCAGTGAATGGTGCTTTCAATAAGAAAAAAAGGAGCTCTTTGGGGACGTGTTTGACAAACAAGATTAACTTCAACTTTCTGCCATTTTCAGAACTGGAAATAAACCAGAGTGGAGTGGAAAATTGAAGCTTTCCTGATTCCTGAATCTAGAATAAGCCGTTTGATAAAAGCTGTTGTGGCTGAGCTGAATGATTCATTGCTTTGTCTTCAGCGAATAAGTCATCCAAGAAGTTGCAAATTCCTCAATGACTGAAGCTGAAATAGAATTGATTATTATGCCCTTTAATATTTTATTTATTTAATTATTTTATCCATTAAAAGGCAAGGCAAGCTGAAATTCTTTAATTTCCATCTCTATGGGTCCTATGATTTGTTTGCCCCTACCATTGGAACATGTAAGATCTGTTTGGGAAAGAGGAGAATTGGTTCAATGATTGAAGGAAACGCAGTGCCTGTAGGCCCAGGTTTCATGTAATGGCAGCCCAAATAGAGTCAGCAACTTGATATGGCCATATGGGCCTGGGTTGAGAATCTCTTCAAATTTGATGGGTCTTGGCCCAGGGCCCAAGTGGCCCCGAGCATGATGCAGTGCAAAAACTAAAAAATAATTCAAGGCGACAAAACCATTAAAACAATCTAGATTGAAGAAAACAGAAAGAGGAGGTGAAGAATGATAGTGCCACTCAACCACAAGTTGCATTCAAAGGACTAATAAAATTAAGAGGTTTTGTACAGATATACATGGAATGTAGGGGAAGAAAATGTTTAGCATAAAAAGGGAGAAACTGATTTAATCAGGATTTTCCGTGTAGAGGGACTATTTTGGCATCACATGTTACATAACACAGTAACACTCATATTTAGATAGAGTCTGAATCTGCTTCTCACACAGCACGCCTCACACGGATCTTACAGCATGTTCTGGCCGCACATCACAAGGTGGGATGTGGTTGTGAGATCGGTGGGAGGCACGGTCTGTGAGAAGCAGATCTTAATTCACTTGATACTCCAGATCTGCTACGCACACAATGCTCTTCACACCGACCTCATAAGCACATCACACCATGTATCAGGAACATCTCTCATAATTATGTGTTATTATTTAGGAAAATATTCCTACCAAGACCAAAACAGTCATCCACAAGATTACATCACACGGCACATCTCTGCCGTGTACATCTTCTGATAATAATGTGAGAAATGGTGATGTCATCATCAGAAAATGCTCTCAACACACGTGGATATGTGCCGTGGGACGTTGTGGGGGCTGATTTGAACTCGTTCCCAGTGCGGTGAGATATACAATCCATCCGAGAAAAAATCTCTTCCTCCACAAGCGCCGGTGTACAGTGCGCTAGAATTTCAGAGTTGGGATCTACTCCCAACAGAAATTGCCCCAACACGCTTCCTACATGATCCGTGTCCGCATATCGGGACCTACCACAAGACCCAGGAGCCAGGAAAACCCCTCCCAATATGTTCAAATATGATCTGTCCGTACATCACGTATGGGACTCTACACATGATTGAGATCCCACGGGAGAGGCATCCATATTGCAAGTACTGTTGGAACGTATTTTGTTGGGAGGGGATCCTAATTTCATACCTTCTCTAACAGTAACAGAACACCGTGACAGTATAAAGCCTACAATACATGGTGACAATGGTATGAGGCCATAAATGTTACTCTCTCTCTCTCTTTCCTCCTAGGGTTAGGGTTTCTTAAATATCTCTCTCTCAACCTTTTTTTCAAGTGGCAAATGAAGATCTCAAGCGCTCGATCATCCATTTGGCCCCACTCCGAGGGCCCACCCATGATAGAGAATCAAGGATATTGTTTAAATACCAAAAAAAGTCGGTCCTTCGCCGGGTTGTCTCTCAGGGGTGTGGCTTCGTAAACCCTTTCTGCTCTTTCCTCTCTCTTTCTCTCCGACATTCGTTTGCTTTCCGTCTTTCTCCGAGGATAGATATTAGGGTTTAGGAGATCACCAGAATCTAGTATATTTTGTAGGTCGCGGAGATGGGTGCGGACAAAGGGAAGAAATCCAAGGTTGCAGAGAGAGGAGAGGAAGAAGATTCCGATCACATTGATGGAGAGTTAGTTCTTTCTATCGAGAAGTTGCAGGAGATTCAAGACGAGCTCGAGAAGGTGAACTTCTTCAGTGTTTTATCTTATTTTCTCCTGGTGTCTTCTTTTTTCTCCGTGTAACATTTCTGTATGGTTGGAGTTTGAGCTTCGCCATCTGTTTTTGGTTGCTTATGCCAGAGGCTACTCGATAATTTCTGTAATTCCAAGGGAACATTGCGCTTATGTCCTTTTAGCGTCGATGTTTAGACCGGTTCCAAGAGTGCTTTGCTGTCGTTTTTGGTTGTTGCTATTTTCTACTTCAAGTCTGCAACTCCTCTTATCATTATTAAACTAACGGCTTCGGATTGACGCTAATATTCCACGACTATTGTTTTCTTCGATTGCATTTCGAAACTCAGTTCGTGTGTGCTAATGTAAATGACAAACTACTTTACCAATTACCAGTTTGTTTGGTGGGTGTCTTCGTACCTCAAACTTTTGCATATTTGACTTCTAGCACTGCCATATTATTCTCTAGGTGAATTTCTACTTTTAATTTCTTTTTCGCGAGCCATTTTAATTTTGAATGAAGAGACTGGTATTCAAATTAGCGCCGTTATTATGGATTTAGTAGGAGAATCAAGGCTTTTCTTTATTATTTAATCAATATAGAATTGAAAGTTCCATTAGATTTTATTATCCTTCTGTCCAGATTTTATATACAATACTTAAGATATTGCTTTTCCGCTGGCAATGGGGCTGTATCATTATTCCACAAGATATTCTAATATTTAGATGATTAAATCATCTACTTGTTGGTGGTTAGGTTAATGAAGAGGCAAGTGACAAAGTTTTGGAAGTTGAACAGAAATACAACGAGATACGGAGGCCCGTCTACAATAAGAGGAATGATATCATCAAAACTATTCCCGACTTCTGGTTAACTGCTGTTAGTTATCCATCTTTCTGCAGACTTTTGGTTTCTATTTTATTACCCGCATGTTATACTGGCCATTATTTTGTATGATTAGTGGCATCAGAATATTCTTTCACCCAATTGATTTGTGAAGGTTTCTGTGCAGTTTTTGAGTCATCCTGCACTTGGTGATCTTTTGAGTGAGGAAGACCAGAAGGTTTGTCTGTTCTCCTTATGCACACAGATTGGTTTGTCAAAGTGGCAAGAATTTCTTTCCAAATATTGAATGCCATTATTGAATGCTAGTATTTATTTGTGTTCTGCAATGTCACATATAGCTAGAATATTTTTGAAGCATGCTTAACTTTGTGTTGCCACTTCATATTTGCTGTCTGTAGATTTTCAAGTTCCTAAATTCTCTGGATGTGGACGACTTCAAGGATGTAAAATCGGGATACTCTATTACCTTTGTGAGTTTCTTTCTCATCCTGCATTTGCCCTGTGTTTGATCATTTACTAAATGATCATCTTTTACATTGTTTTTCCTTCTAATATTTTCTCCATCTTAACTTTTGGGATGTTGTTAGTAGGATGGAAATATGATTTATGACTATTGATCGGTGATTTTATTGCATACTAATTAAATCTGTTCTTTGTAATGCTCAGAATTTCAACCCCAATCCTTATTTTGAAGATACAAAGCTCACAAAGACTTTTACCTTCTTTGACGAAGGAACGACTAAGATAACTGGTACAACGATCAAATGGAAGGAGGGCATGGTAAGGATGATTCCTTCCTATTACTTTTAGGAACCTTTTACTTTTATGTCTCAAGTTTGATAATTTTACTCTTTTTTTTTCATTTGAAAACGTGAAGGACATTGCAAATGGTGTTAATCATGAGAAAAAAGGAAACAAGCGTCCACTTGCTGAAGAAAGGTTGGTTTCTTGCCTCTTTCTCTTTTGCTTCAATTCCAATGTATATAAAGGGTGTCTTCAGTTTTTTTGGATAAATAAAGTGTCTTCAAAACTATCCTGGGTAGGTAGCCTCATTGCTTTGCACCTGTACAAAACTAACTTTATTCTACTTTTACGTTATAAATATAAATATAAAATTAGAAAGGTCCCTCCCTTATCAATTGATGCCTCACATTTTATGAGCATAAGATTGTAATTTATTGTATATGCAGGATAATAATCCTTCTTGCTTTATTTTGGAAAGCAGTGTAGTCTGTCTTTGTTGGGGGCTATTCAGTGTTTTAAAAGGCGTGTCTAGGCACACAGGTCCTAGGTGCACCCCTTTCAAAAGGTGCACGCCTGGTGCGCCTAGGCATGCACCTGATGTGCCTTGCGCCTCAGCCCAGGCGTGCACCTTTTTAAAATTTTGAGTTTTTTGCTATTTTTTTTTGAGTCTAACGGCTGGGCTGAGGTGCACACCTAGGTGTGTAATTATGGCATTACCATGACATACAGGTAAATCTTAGAAGCCTTCTCCCCATAAACTAAATAAAATGCGTGTAATTCAGAAGTAGATGATTTAAAGACTATACTATACAATTTTACTATTGGGAGGCTATAATAAGGTTTGACTAACTTGTCAAGTTGTCATCAAGTGCTGGTCCAGTTGGGCACTTCCAATGCAAAAACATAACTAGGCAAGAACTGAATAGATGGACTCTTCAACAAATATAAGGTAACAAAGCCTTGAATAGTGGTGAAATCTCAGAGGACTATATCATCCTTATTTCTCAGAGCCTGAAATGGAAGCCTCACCAAGGTGCTAGAAAATTTATTCAAATGCTATTACAGAAAATAAACAGCATGGGGCAAAGAATAGCCTCAATAGCCCCAGTGTTTTAAAAGCGCAAAGGGCCAATTTGCACCTAAGACACAAGGTGCAAGGCGAGGCACACACCTTTTTAAGCAAGGTGCAAAAATACAAAAAAAGCTAAAAAATAAAAAAGTCAGAAAATTCATAAAAAAGCCAAAAAATTTAAAGAAATGCAAAAAATTAAAAAATATTGAACATAATGTTAATAAAAAATATAGACTTAAATTTTAAAATAAATGTTTTAAAAAACCTGTTATCCAAAATTAAAATACATAAACATAACATGTAAAGCGTATTCAAATGAAAATTTAAAAGCAAACATATAAAGCATTTCTTTTTGATGAATAACATATAAAGCATTTTCAAGCATGTAAAACCCACAATCTCTTTTTTTTCCTTAATTGCATTGCTTCAAGTAGCTAATGTGATGTAAAACATATTGCATTCTTGATTCTATGAGTCGCCTTTGTACYACRCCCCTCRAGGCAAGCCCKAACAAGTCTATGTTAGGGTCCGAAATTCTTATTTCTCACATAAAAAATAATGGTTTTATAGCTTTCATTGCCTTTTAAGAAGTTATTTTATTGCAATGAATGAATGAACAACATTAGCAAATGGGGGGTTCTCAGAGCATGGATGCACCATGCTCCATGTTATTATGTTATTATGCAACTATAGATAAGTATATTTGTTGGCTCCAACTTATACATGGATGCACCATGCTACCATTCGGTTCAATGTTATTATGGATTCTCATACTTGAATGCATATGATGCATATGCTTCGTCCTTCACTCCCAAGTTGATCCTTTTGAGTGCAGCTTCTTTAACTGGTTCAGTGAGACACAACAGAAAGATATTACAGAAGGGATTCATGATGAGGTAATTTCTTTGTTTTCATCTTCGATTGCAGTACTTCCGCCTTTCTTTATTTGACATTTCCATTGATCTGATAGAAAGTATTCAGTGTCATGAGTGTTATATTTAATGATAACTTCAATATGTATGGAGGATATTTTTCTTTGGCACTGGTGGATCAAATGTTAATGTGAAGTTCAAGCTGACACGAGATTCTGAACTTTTATCAATCTTCTTTTTATCATTGAAATGTTGTGTTATTTAGCTCTTGATTTGAAATTGCAGGTGGCAGAGATAATCAAGGAAGATTTATGGCCTAACCCTCTTAAATATTTCAACAATGTAATTTTCTTCCCCTAATTAATCTGCTTTTAAGGATGGACTTCTCCAATCTCCATGGAAATTGTTACTACATGAATTTATTCATTTTCTTCTTCTGTTCTTGTTCCTTTTCTTTGAGTTGATTGATGCATCTTTTGGTGTAGGAGGCTGATGAAGAGGACTTTGATGGAGATGAGGATGATGAAGAGGTAAGTGGGGGTAGATATTTGACATCTATTCATTATTCAGACGTTCTATGCGATATATTGGTATCAAGCAAAAACACAATTTCTCTATTATCATCATCATTTAAGCCTTGTCCCAACTATATGGGATTGGCTACATGTATCCTGTTCTTCTATTCTGTTATATTCAGTGCCATATCTATTGTTAAACTGTGGGCATATTGGAGTTGTGGATGGTCTTCTCTGCACGTGCTGAAACCTAGTCCACCTCCCCTTCTTTTATCCCCTGTTGGGGCTACTTCTAGGTTCCTTACAATGAGTTCATTTCTGATCCTACCATCTTTTCTACTTCCTTTCCCCCATCCATCTCAATATTCATATTTGTACCACACACAGTTTTTAGTCATGTTATTTCTTAAATGCCCAACACTCACACTGTTGGCCTTGTAACATTTTATGAAAATCTTCCCAGCCTAGGTGGTATTCTCCTATCATATAAGGCTAGATGCACATTTCTGTTTGACCATCTTGCTTAAATCCATGGTCAACCTCCTCAATCTCTCCATTGTTATGCATTATCAAACCAATGTTAAGGAAGAGTCACATTGATATATCTAGGTCACTTAAATCAATGGTTCAAGTAACCAAAAATGGTGTATGTTTTTGCTTTTATAGAAACAGATAATGGGATGAGATGAATGGTAATTATACTTTTTTGGCCTATTTCATCAGTAACCCCGAACTCTTTACTAATAATGTTTTCCCTATTACAGTGTATGTAAGGCTACAAATAATTCATGTTATATTCCAGTCCATATTTGATTCACAATTTGAATTTAACGTGAATCTTATCCATCTGATTTAGTTTTGACTTAGATTGGGTTTAGATATTAAATACCATTGTTAACTTAGGCTAAAGATGGTTAAAATGTACCATTTATAAAAGAAACTAGGGATGAATTTCATGTTGCACACTAAAAATAAAATGACTTGATAACATTTAGGTAGATTACAAAGTCTTCCCATACTTTGGGGGATGCGACTTTAGCTCCATGTACTATTTTACATCCACTTACAAAAGTGGTGGAACTTTCTAACAGTTTAAATATTGAAAAAGAATTTGCCAAATTGCTCACAGGTCACTTTTATGCTTTTTGAAGCAAAAATCAAGAGAGGAGGGTGATAGCAATGGTATAAAAGAATATTAGGGCAGTGATTTAAAAGGCGCACAAGCGAGGTACATTTTAGGGTAGGCGCCTCGCCCATGTCCTAGGCGTCTCGCCAATTCATCCTACTAAAATATCTTTTTAAATAGCAATTAAAATTATAAAGTCATTATTTTTTGTGTGAGAACTATGAATTCAAGACCCCTAACATGGACTTGTTTGAGCTTGCCTCGAGGGGCATGGCACAAAGGCGGCTCATAGAATCAGGAATTTAATATGTTTTACATCACATTAGCTACTTGAAGTAATGCAATTGAGGAAAAAAAGAGATTGTGGATTTTACATGCTTGAAAATGTTTTATATGTTTTGATTTTATTTTTAAATTTAATTTGGATATGCTTTACATGTTATGTTTATGTATTCTAATTTTAGATAATAGGTTTTTTAAAACACTTATTTTAAAATTTATGTTTATATTTTTTATTAACATTATGTTTAATATTTTTTTATTTTTTGCATTTTTTGAATGTTCTGACTTTTTTTTTTGTATTTTTGCGCCTTGCATCCAAAAGGCGTGTGCCTCGCCTTTTGCCCCTTGCGCCTCGGGTGCAAATTGGCCCTGTGCCTTTTTGCGCCTTGTGCTTTTAAAACACTGTATTAGGGTGGGATGGGTAGAAGTGACAAATGAAAATAAAGAGTTGGTGCTGTGGTGATGGTGAAAGTGAAAGTTTAAGGTAGAAGTGTGGTGTAGGTGAATGCATTGGTTGTGCCATTGTGGTAGAAGGTAGAAATGAAAATTGTGGTAACAGATGTGAAAAAGGGGGAGCGACAAAACAGTTGGTGGTTAAACTTTGGTGTAGCATTTGAATGGATGGGATGATCTGCTTGATCTCAGGAGGCCATTTTGATGGCTGAGATTACTTGAAACCATTTGGTTTTCAAAAATTAGTTAATAGATTTTGAGTCATGAGTTAAATGGTCTAAATCATTGTATATAAATACAGGGTGGTTACGTGTCACAAAAAATAGCATAGGATACTAAGTTTCACACACCTAAAGTCTAGGGAAGCTTTTATAAGTTACTGTAAGTTTACGAGACTTGAACTTTAATAATCAGACAACATTCAAACTACCTTTACCAACAAATGCATATTAGTTTTATGCAAATATAAGTGTATAGGATTGGGTTGGGTAGATCCATATTTGATCCAATCATAAACCATCTGAAATCAGTTGTTTTAATCAGGTCATTATGATTTCTAATTGTTTCAGTACACTTCGGTAATCAGTCTGTCCGATTACTCTAATTCCATTTGGGAACCAATAGTGGAGAAGGTGGAGAAGAGACTGGCAGGTTGGAAAGCAAAATATCTGTCAAAGAGGGTGAACTTACTCTAATCAAGAGTGTACTTTCATCTCTCCCTGCTTACTGTCCTTGTACCAATTCCAGCAGGGATGGCATCCTCAATTGGACTAAAGATGAGTGAGTTCTTATGGAATGGTTGGAAGGAAGATAAAAAAAACCCACTGGGTAAATTGGGGAAAGGGTGCAACCTGCAAACATAAAAGAGGTGGATAATTGGAAAGGCTAAAAGAACTGAACATTGCCTTATTAGGCAAATGGAGTTTAAGATTAGGGCAGTAAGGGAATATCTTTTGGAAGAGAATAGTTCAAGCGAAGTACAGCTCAAGAAACATGGGGTGGGAGCCAGGTGAATCATACAGTCTTAAGGCTGCTTGGCCTGGAAAGGTATTGCAAAAAGCCACAGCTATTTTAGCAATTTAAATGTGAAATTAAGTTTGAAGGGGGAAGTGGACCTAGGGTCAAGTTTTGGTAGCATTGCTGGTGTGGAGATTATTGACTGAAGGAGGTTGCTGACTAATGGGAATTGTGTATGGAACCCTGTTCTCAGAAGTACTTTGAAACTGGGAAGTAGAGACTTTCTTATACCTGCCTCAGACACTCTACATACAGTATGCAATTTGTCCCTAACTGAGAGGACAGAAGACGGTGGTTAGAAGAGAAGTCTAAGGCAGTTTACCGTCAAATCTTTTCATAACAAGTTGACTCAGTATGAAGTCTAGGAGCTTGCTATGGGCAGACTTTGGTGCAAATACATTCTCTCAGAGGTAGCTTTTTTGTTTGGTCTCCCTACTCAAACGAGATCCTTACTAGGGACAAACTGTTAAACAGAGGTTTGGAGAGAGTTTCATTGTATTGTGTTATATGAAATGGGGTGGAGGAATCTGTGAATCACCTGTTGATACATTGTACTTTCACTCCATATGCTTGGAATAAAGGTTTGTTCACTTGAACTCAGTTTAATGGTAAACCCACTAAATTTATTTTTCCCCTGTAGAATGACAAGGGCAGAAATTTTCTCCTCCAAAGTTCAATACCTCCGTAGTTTCTCCGCGGAAGGGAGTTCTTTCTGCCTATGAAGTTTCTTTTGTTATGTTACCGGAAAATGACAGAGAATAGCCAGACAGGGTGTTGGAAATGTAAAGATGCATACACTAAAAATCGACATACCAACATAATATACTAGCATTGAGATGGTATCTAGGTTTCATACTTCTTATGGCAAAAACCAATTGTAATTTCTTGCTTGTTGAACTTGAACATTTTAAGGAGATTTACCTAATGTTTCATTTTTCTCTGTTTACTTTTTGGATGATGCATGCAATTACATTATTTTACTTATTTTCTAGGTTGGACCTTCTTATGACATAAAACCTAAAGTTTGTTTGTGGGCCTTAGTTTGCTAAAATCTAGAAACATCTCCATTAATTTCTGATTACATTTTATAAAGAAGCTAAGCTACATGAAAGTAGGCCTTTGTTTCAACAAGGAAAATGAACACTTCTGTTGATCCATATTTAAAAATTAACTGTGACCATTTCTCAGTCAATCTACTAATCTCTTTAAATTGGTTGGATGTAGTATGAGTAGCAAGCCTATTAACCAATTTATTGATCTGTTGGGCCTTCTCTCTAATCATAACTGGCACTTGTTTCTAAGAGGAAATTTTCTAGCAAGGTTACTTAACCTCGTTGGGTACTGTCATTTTGCTTCATTGAAGAAAATTGAGGTAATTTCTAGAGAGGTATGTCCTCATGAGTGAATGAAATGGTGCAAGTGAGATTTTTTTATCAACACCTTGAGTAATTGGATATAAATGTTTAACTTGGTGAGCTTTTGGGGATCAAATATCAGAGTATAACTTAAAATGCTGAAACCTGTTTTCCCAATCAAAGATCATATCTTCATTTTGTTTAGGATTTTGGTTGTCTTTAATTTTTTTGACAATGCATCTTACTTTTTTTTAGGGAAAATTCCCGATCAGTGGCTCTTGGAAGATAAGTGTGTTTGTCTTCCTCCTGTAAATTTTCTACTGATGATTTAATGAAAGTGTTATTGATAAAAAAAAATTCCTGATCAGTACCCAAACTTTGAAAATGTGACAATCTAGTACCCAAACTTTTAAAATGTGACAATCCAGTACCTACCGTTAATCAGCCATTAAGTGACATGTGAAAAGTCAAAAATGCCCTTTGAATGGCATCTAATTCTCTTTATGAACCATCCAAACATTGACAAAAAATTATACAGTCCCAAATCTTAGCCTCTTCTATTCAACAAAGTTAGTGACTGTTTAGAAGAATCTAGAATTTGGGACTCTTCGTTTTATTGTCAATGTTTATATGCTTAATAAAGAGACTTAGATTGCATTATTAGGGCATTTTTGACTTTTGAAATGTCACTTAATGGCTGATTAATGGACTGATTAACGGCAGGTACTGGATTGTCACATTTTGAAAGTTTGGGTACTGAATTGTCGCATTTTAAGGTTTGGGGACCAAATTGTCACTCGAGCCAAAGTACAGGGTACTGATCTAGAATTTCCCCCTTTTTTTACTCATTTCTTCTGTTAATGTTTGGTCTAACTGTCAATGTAATCTTCATTTATGCCTGTACCCAATGAGACAATACTACAATAGAGTCGGACTCTACGATGACAGAAAGGAAGAAAATAGGGTGTTAGACGGAGTTACTGGATGCAACATCTGAGTAGAAAGGTAGGGTAAGAACTTGAGGACCTGGTTTAAAGTTAGTAAAGTAAGAGGGTGATGGTGGAAGGAGTGGCCTCAGGGTGGTTCAAAGGTATGACAGAAGGTAGAGATACTGTTGTCCTAGCTAGTTCCTAGTAAGGTTGGATGGATTGAATTGAAAGGCAGTTTTATGGGAGAAAAACAAGGGGGAAGGAGTTGGGTTTTGGTGATATCTTTTATACTGGATTGTACTTGTATTTTTCTTTAACAAAATTTTTTTGTTATCAATCATATGTTTGGTATTCTTGAACTGGACTACTACTGCATCCTGGAATTAGGATTGTCAATAAAAAATCCAATTCAGTACAATCTGATCTAGCATGATTAATGAATGAATATGCATTAGATGTAATCTATGCAAACTTAATGGTGCACTCTTGTTTTTTTGTGAAGGCATTACTCTTAACCTCAAGTTTCATGAAGCAGATGAGTAATTAAAGGACAGCTTTGTTGGTTCTGAAATAAAAACAGAATATAAGAAAAGGAAAATGAGTATAGAAAAGGAAATCTATGTATATGACTTGTCAAAAAAAGCAAATCAATGAATAAGACTTGTAAAAAAATAGGAAATCAATCATGCTATAATCCACTTTTGAAGATAACGAATGTTATATTTTCTCCCCTTTTCACTCCTCTCGAGTCTCAACAAGCATGGATGTCTCTCTGGTTTTTGTTGGTGTTGCTCACTCATTTGGTAGTTGAAGATGTAGTACATGACACAGATAAGAACTGACTTGATACTATGTAGATCTTATCTAAACAATATTCAATCTGCAGAGCCCCATTAAAATTACTAAAACCAAAATAAGAAAAAGCATGTGTGAAAAAGGGAAGGATATTGGTGTAATCCTCCTTTTGAACAGGATGAATAGGTCTCCACTCTTTGATAACTCGTCTCTGGTTTTGTTGCTGCTCCTCTTTCTTGTCAAATCCAGGAGTTTTTGTTATTCTATAATTGATTTATTTCCTGCTTAGGCTGTGTTTGGTTTGAAGGAAAAAGTAGGGAATGGAAGGGGAAGGCAGAGAAATCTTTACAAACCTTGTATTAGGTTTCCCTACCCTTCCTTTTCCTTCAAACCAAACATAGCCTTAAAGTCATGCTCAATTACTACGTGCCTCAAATTTTAAATGTGCAAGTCTGACTTGGGTCCGATAATTCATTAGGTTCAATTGCAGTATTTTCTGCGTCTTGCCTCTAAACTGGGAGACCGGATGTGCTCCTCACACCTGAGGTGCCTCACGCACATCCTATCATGCATTGGGAACATCTCCTGTATTTATTAGTTATTATTCACGGGAGATGTTCCCAATGCACGGTGGATGTGCCTGTGAGGCGCCCATTTGTGAGGAGCAGATCCCGCTTCTTAAACTGGTTATTGAATCTGGCTCATGTATGGACCATGCGTCAGATAGTATGGTTGTTTATATCCAATTAGCTCGTTGTGAGATAGGATGAATCAAGTGATTGTTGCTATGGATTTACCTTGCTTGATTTTTCTCTCTATTTTTTGGGTCTTATTGTCAGGGTAAGGACATTGATGGCTTTGAAGAGGAAGATGATGACGAACAAGATGATGATGACGAAGACGGTGATGAGGAGGATGACAGTTAATTCTTTCTCAGGGTTTAACAGGGTTTACATTATGACCATCATGTTTTAGTCATACCTCGTGGAAGCAAAGTCTCTGATGCCTGCAGAAAGGCCAGGTGATAGGGAGCTGACAACTCTTGTAATGTCTGTGGTGGTAGCTATGATCTTTTTTGTTGCTAGCTGACTGCTACCATGGTTTACCTTTGTTTTGTTTTTTTTTTTTGGGGGGGGGGGGTTCTCTTGGCCTTCATCTCCCCTGTTTCATTGGGATATGCGGGCTTTCTTGCTAAATGCAGGGAGTTTTTAAGTTATGAGGATATATAATATTGGGTTTTATTAGTTTTCTTGTAGAGAGCACCTTTGTCGAAAGCATGTGCCTTCGTAATTGTCCTTGTCAGGCCCTTCTAGCCTTTGTGATCTAATGCTTTTAGGTTTTTACGCTATTTCCAGATATGAGATCTCCTGCCCTTGTGCTTCAGGTCCCAATACGGGGTTTACTCTTTTTGAATCTTTTCTTTTGATGTTGCCAACTGTATTTTCTTTTTCTAATTACTATTAACTACCAGAGGGTTGCTGGTGGTGCGCATCTTCACTTCCTCTTCTCACGAATCTGCACCGGATTATGTGTTTTATATTGAGCTGGAGCTTTATGCTAGAGGGGAGCCACTTATGATTCGATAGAAACCATTTTAATTATGGGTAAATTTATTAAAGGGTCTTTATGGTTTTGGAAATTGACTAACCCAACCTTTGAAATATGTGCTAGTAACTACCAGAGAGTTGCTGGTGGTACATCTTCACTTCCTCTTCTCACAAATCTACACCGGTATGTTTTTCATATTGAATTGGAGCTTTATGCTAGTGTAGTCAGAAGAGAGCCAATTTGATTGTATAAAAACTATTTTAATTATGGGCAAATTTTTTAAAGGATCCTTGTGGATTAGTAAATTGACCAACTCTACTCTCACTGTTTATATATTGTTTTAAAGTATCCCGTTTTTGACAATTGACATTGTTGTTAAACATTAATAGAAAAAAATGTCAAAATTTCTTTCTACTATTTCTCAATTTTTTGAAATAAAATCCAATTGAAGAAAAATTTTTAAGAATTGTAATATAGTCTTCAAAGCAGTTGAGGCATACTCTGGAGTTGACGATCATTTGAGGATTCAAATCTGTTGATCATTGGATTGGAATCGATCATGGGATCCATTATTCCTTTTGTTGAAGCTTGTAGGCTTTCCAGGCCAATCGTAGGAATCGATCATGGGACCCGTTAATCCTCTTGTTGTAGGCCTTGCAGGCCAATCGTTGATTGTTGATTGAAGGATTTCTTCTTCCGTTATAAATAAAATTTTAAAATCCTAAACAGGGGGGGAAGGAAGGGGGGGGGGGTATGGGCCTGTATCTTTGCTTGTTTTTTATTTTTTTATATTTTTACTTTTTGTTTGAAATTGGTTGAGGGGTCGGTTCACTCCCTAAACTAGACCAAACCTCAAAAGGCCCCCTGTAGGGGCGTATCGAGAAGCCTCCGATATGATACGTATCGACTGATACACCCCAATACATTGCGATATTTTGATCATTGATCCTAAAGAAGAAAGAAGTGTACAATGATCGATGATGGGATCCCGCATAAAGTGCCAATGGCGATAGAAGTCGTGAGCGTGCCACTACATGCTACTTTGACTAGTCTACCTCCCTAGATCTCACTGTCTCTTCTCTACTTACCTATAGGTCATATACTGTCTCCTTGCCTAATTTCTTCTTATTGATTTTTATTCGATCAGTTTGTCGTTTCTGTTGTTGTTGCTTCTGCCTAGAATTAGGGATTTGAATATACCCTAATTTGAATATGATCCAATCTGTTTTCATCCCTAAGTAGGGGCATTCTGTGAAAATTTGAAAAAGTCTGTATGGATTGTTTTGTCCCACTAAATTTGAATAAGCACTTATTTTTTAAGTACTTAAAATAAACAACCTTGGACCTGCTAATTTTTTAAAGTACTTATTTTTGAAATAAATACTTAAGGGGTGTTTGATGAATCTTTTCAGAGGTTCGATGTCTGAAAAACTTTCTTTTCAGACACTAGACCCGTTTGGTGTTACTTCTGAAAATGGGTCTGAATCTTATTGTCAAATCTAAATCTGATAGTTCATGGGCTGGCTCTTAATGCGCTCATATGCATTTCAGAGCGGGCCCAAAGTCGAAAATACTTCCCCAAAAATGGAAATGACACGATTTTGCCCCTATTAACCCCAAAACTTAACATTTTTCTCCATTTGTGTTTTCTCTCTAGAAAAGCATCCTCAAGACCTCCACTCGTCTCGACTGAAGAACACTGCTCGTCTCGTCAAAGGTATTATCCTCTTCTTCTTCTTCTTCTTTAAATGGCTATTCATAGGGTTTAGATATTTTGATTTGATCTGTTTATGTTTATTTTGATTTGTTTACAGTTCTTCTTCTTCAAACGACTCTTTATGTTTATCAAACACATGTTTCTTTATCTTCGTCTCCATTTATCAATTGTTCATAGGGTTTATATGTTGGGATACATGGTGGTGATTGAAACATTGATCTTTAATTTGTGAGGACAAACTTCATCTTTTAATCTCCAAACCATTGATGAATTTGGTTGTCATTTTTTTCGGTTGTATGTTTATGAGGACAAATGCTTGCACTTCCTTGTATGTTTATGGTTTTTTCATTTATCATAGCTCACACCATGAACTCCAAACTCAACCCAACTGTAAACCACTTTTCAATTGAAATCCGTCTTATCTATTACTTTTAGGAGTAAAATGCATATGCATATTGTTCTAGAAAATCTAATAGGAGTAAGCGGTCCTATGAGATTAGCTATCTTTGTTTTGGAAACTAGATTACAGTATAATTCTAATTATTATCCTAATACTAATTTAAATGAATTATTATACCACTACCTTATTGATTTTAGGCGAGTGATTATTGGACTACAAAAATCCAAGACAACCAGTCATTGGAAGCCTTGGAACTCCTGGATTGAGGAGCTATCTTTGTTTTTATTTATTAAATAGCTAAGTCTATGGAGATTACAATAAAGCAAACTTGGGGTTGGAATTATTAATTTGCACCCCTAATGTGGGTTAAATACGGATCCGATCCAAGTACAATACATTTATAGATCTAATAATTTTGGATTGGATTCAGATCCAAAGGTTTGATGGTGTAGCTAGATCTAGGGGTATTCAAATTCGGTTGATAAATTAGAAATCGAACTGAATCAAACCGAATAAACTCAGTTCAGTTAATTTGGATATCAGTTCGGTTTGGTTTTTGTTTTTTAAAAAATCGGTTTTTGGTTTTGACTCACTCGATTTGATAGATTTTCAATCGAATTAAACCGAAAACCGAACTATTGCTTATTTAACGAAGTATATTAAATATTTAATGTGATCTATTTAATACTTTATGCTAATTAATTATTATATTTTCCAATAACGAATTTGGCAATTTCTCATTGGGCTTTAATTGTTTGTGAATGACTTTTAATTAATAATTGTTAATTAAAAACTGGATTAATCATTAATTGTTAATTAATAATAGTTAATTAATTAAAACCATTGGACTTTGGGACATTCTAACGTTTAATTAATACTAATAGTCAATTAATTAAAACCATTGGGTTTTGGGGCCATTTTAACTTTTAATTATTAATACTTATTAATTATAAATTATTCATTTGTGGTTGATCAATGTTTATCATTTATGTGGAATTAAAGCCCAACCAAACCAAACCAAACTGAATTCATTTAGGTCGGTTTGATTTTAAATTCCGATTTGGTTCGATTCGATTGGAGAAAATAGTCAAACCGGATAATCGGTTAGGTCCTTGATTCTAACTTAACCGAACCGAACCGACCGATTGTACATCCCTTATTGGATCTAATCCGAATCCAATTACAGCCCTACCATCATGGGCAGGGCATTTATAATGGAACCCAATCTCACCTTTGATTCTTTATGGAGCCTTGTTTTACAGCCCTACCATTATGAATCGATTGACAGACTTTTAACCCATTGGGTTCACCCTCGTTAGATGTAGGTCCAAGTGCGGGTCATCTCATCTGCAACGGGGGGGGCTGAATCAGGCCACGTCCAAAAGCTGAATCTCTCGACCCTGTTCTTTCTCCCCTAGCTATGAAACCCCAGTTGTGCCAAACCCCACTTGTATATAACCTCGGTCTGATCAGTCTCCTTTCCTCCGCTTTCTCACTGGCTCTAGCCCCGGTCCGATGTCAAACCCTAGTTGCGATTGCGGGATTTGTAACCGGCACCAACATTCAGCCTGTAATCAGTCGATTCCCCAAACCAAAAAAAGTGAAAAACCAATCAGCAGAGAGAAAGAGAGTGCTCTGTTGTGCTTCAATGGTAGCAGCGGTATCTAGAGGACCGCGGAGCTAATGATTTCATTCACCGCTTAATGTTGCAACGACGTCAATGGCTTCATTGACAGTCGGAGATGAGAAAAGAGAATGTATGAAAAAGAGAAAAATATTATAAAGGATATTTTTGGAATCTTTGAAACATAATACGAGAAGTTTTAGACAATTAGTACAAATGGAGAAGTTTTAATCGATTAACTAAACCATGAACATACTTTAAGAAATTTGCCCTTTCAAGTGGGTAACGTGCGAATGCGACTACGAGGATAACCTGGAATTCAACTTCTTGGGGCGTATTTCGTGGACAGTGATTGGAACTCGTGCTCTTAACTCACTTTGGGTCGCATTTATTTATTTATTTTTTTTAAGGCACTTTGCGTCGTATTTTGAGAGCTTCATATTCATTTACTCGCATCACACAGGCCACAGCTATGAACTCATTTTGGGTACACAAGCGAAGGCCTTTCGCTGAATTAAATTTCGCTTTTTTTTTTTAAATCTTTTCCCATTATTAGTTTTTGGTTGGAACTCCTGCCGAGTTGGTTGGATCGAGACTTCGGATTTGGAAGAGTCTATTGATGATCTATCAGACGAGTTCGTGGCGTTGCTGCGGATTTTAGAGGGTCGGAACCCCAATTTCTGCATCTGTAGTGAGTTGTTGTTATCTTCTCAACCATGGAATTCTCTGTGCCTGAGGAGTTATTAGGAACTTTTGCACAAATTTTCGTCTATTGGCTTTATTCCGGCATTTGTTTCTTGTTGGGATCCTTCGACAATTACCGGCTGCACTCAAGGAAAGATGAAGATCTTAAGAACCTGGTCTCGAAAGGGACTGTTGTCAAAGCCGTTCTTCTTCAACAGATAATCCAGGCTATTGTTGCAATCCTCTTGTTCAATGTAAGTAGCAAAATAAATTGTTATGACTTTACTATTTTCCTTTATTTTTTCTATTTGGTTCGTTTTGAAAATTGGACTAGACGTCTCTACAAATATGATACGCAATGACTCATGATGCTTAATAACTAGAATTCTTTTGGTGCCTTAACTAACTTTTGCGTGGATGGGGATAGAGGGAGTTCGTTTTGAGAATTTGGCTCGTTTTGTTCACTCAGTTCCTCATGATACTCAATAACTGTTCTGCTTCTGCTTGTGTTTTCTGGCTATTACCTATCCTGTGGATGGGATGCTCCTAAATCAAACTTGGAATCTCCTAATTAGGAGATGGGGATTGAGGGAGGGGAAGCTTGGTCTTTGGAGTCCAGTAAAACTTTTTATTTCCTTTTCCCACCTCTTTCATTTGTCCTTGATAATTTCTTGTACAGTACATGAAATTTTAGGGGTGTTTCAATAATTTATCTTGCTTATCAGGAGATTTAGATTACTTGATTGATAAGATGGACGTCTAGAAATGCTCCAGGATTTGCATATCTATATATTTTTCTGGGATTGGAGACGACATTTTAAAGGATATGTCTATGAAATTAAACCTGTCTTAGTTAATGGTTTAGCAGGTATTGTTTTTGAATTCAGCAACAATTACTTACTATTGTTCGCTTCAATACATTCATTTTTTTAGTACTATTTTCCCCCACTCTTCCCACCCATCCATCTGATATTCTTACTCTGGTTCTGCTTTTTCTTTTTCTTTTTTTTTTTATCTTTTCCTTAATGCCTAACATTTTTTTCTTTTTATGACATTGCGGATCTTGTAGCCATCTTATTTTCTATTATACAGATCGGTAAAGTACTTCCTTGTGAGGGACATATCTAAGGTCCCATGCAATGCTATTGTACTATGTGATGGACAAGATAATTGGCTACCAACTTCAGTGGGTGCCACTTATTCTATATTTTTAGAAAAACTGTTGGGGGCTTCATCCTCAACTCTGGCAACTCCCATCTTATATGCTAAAACTTACCATACTCCATATCAGTAGATTCAGAACTGATCATTATCCTTTTCTTATTTTTATCCCGCGTTTATTGTTTCTAAAGTATTTGTTTATAATTCTTTACCTATAGATTATCCAAATGACTTATAGATTGGATATGGTTCTCAAGCTTCACAGGCTAAATTTAGAGAAGAAATTTGCATCTACAGGGACCTCAAATCAGGTGACCCTTTCAAAAGTCTTGAATCAAATATAAATTCACTCCCCAAGCATTGTTGAGCATCGGATTTTTTTAAGGCAGCAGGCAACAACTGACTTCTCTGCAATGAACAAAAGAAAGGAATTAATAAGATGTTAAAAATGTAAAAGAAATAGGATCCTTGAACAGCTGTGACTTAGGTGTTCTTTTTCTTTCTTAATTCACTTTGTTTTCATGCTGTTTTAGTAAAGGAAGAAAGCAATAATTGTTTACTAACCTATGTTTTTTGGTCCATAAATAGAGATGACCTCTTTTGAAAAAATACCCTTATTTTTGAAAACTAGAAAAGGTAGCTTCTAGAAACACAACCATGGGTTTGTCTCATAATTTGCTGATGTGGAATTAATAATTGTGCAAATTTGGAGTCCTGAATGTTACCATTTTCCAATAAAGGCTTTCTCTTTTATTTTTTTTTCCAAAAAAGAAGTCTGGGGTCCTGTGTTCTCAAAAGTATCACACTTAATATGAACCTACATACTGCATACCACCGGAGTGGGGTGGAGTATTGCAGGTGAAAAATAAATTCTAACTGAAGGGATTATGATCAAGAACTGTAATATGAAGGGATCAGATGAATACAGAACATGTAGCGGAGGGTTTTCCATGTACTGTAAAATGAAACACTAATAGCTGAGCAGTCAGTAATGAGAGATTGTTACTATTTGTTTAAGGATTTCTGGTCTGCAATGGAGCATATCTGCAGCCATCAATCTGAAGATCTAGGCTTTCATTTTTTCACCTTACCAATTTTTTAAGCTTACTATAGATTATTTTTAATACATGATCAACAAATTTAGTTCACACATTTATGTTAATTGATTAACTAGAAGAGGTAATGGATGAAGTGTAGTATGGGATTTGCAGGGATATATTTTTTATGGAGGAAATCGATGGGAGATGATTGAAATGCTCTTTTGACTCCATAGTACGCTTAGAACAAGTTGTAAATAAATGTAAACAAGAAAAAAATGTGAAAGTAGTAATAAATCCAAATAGTGCTTTAAATGTGATAGCTCCAGAGCATTGCCTAATGCTATGATACTCTCCAGCTTCCTTTTTAATTACTCCGGGCTTTAAATGTGATAACTCCAGGCTTTAAATATGATGGTTGTTTCATATTTATTGGCCTGAATTTTAATCTGATTCTTATTTTTCGGGTGGTTTATTGGTGGGTGTTGACCTTGCATAGCTGCCACCACCTGTCCAACATTATGTTTATAAAATATTGTTTGTAATAGTTAAGCTGAAGCTGTGATCACAAACCCACCAGTCCAACCACCTAAATGCACAGTAACTCGTTATATGCTGATTTTAGCATGGCTACTTTTATTCTTGGACCTGGAATATAATAAACTCCTGTCTTCCGTTGTAGGTAAAAGCAAATGATAATGGAACAGCTACATATTTGACACCTTCCTTTGTTGTCCTGGCAAGACAATTCTTGATTGCAATGCTGGTTCTAGATACATGGCAATATTTTACGCATAGATACATGCACCATAATAAGTTTTTGTACCGGCATGTTCATTCTCAGCATCATCGGCTTGTTGTACCATATGCCTTTGGAGCTCTATACAACCACCCTTTAGAAGGACTTCTAGGCACTATAGGTGGGGCCCTATCTTTCCTCCTATCTGGTATGTCAGCCCGAACTTCTATCTTCTTCTTCTCCTTCGCTATTATCAAAACAGTGGATGACCACTCTGGGTTATGGCTTCCTGGGAATCTCTTCCATGTGTTCTTTAAAAACAACACTGCATATCACGATGTTCATCACCAACTTCGTGGAAGCAAGTACAACTTTTCACAGCCATTCTTTGTCATGTGGGATAGAATTCTTGGAACTTACATGCCTTATTCACTTGTAAAGCGAGAAGGTGGGGGATTTGAAGCATGCCCAACAAATGGAATCAAGGCTGATTGATTACCTTTTTAGATCCTTTTTGTGTAACCACGGTGTACCTTGAATCTTTTTGAAGATCTGTTCTGTTAATAAGCCATAATGTTTATGTTGTTTGTATATATGTAATTTGTAGTTTGTACTTTATTACTTAGTTTTGAAAATTAACAATGGAGTGATGTATCCTATATTTTGTTTATCTTTGCACTTTTATCTTTAATGTTGGTTTTAATATGATGTACCAAGTGTGTGTAGAATCGAACGGCTGAAGTCTCTAGCACCTTTACCTGCATGCAAAAGAGAATAAGAAGAGCTTCACAGTATTGGACCCGAGACACCAACCTCTCAAACAATATGTGAGAGAGAGTAGCTTAATCTGATTAGAGCCAAGACTGAGAGGATGATTTTCCTTTCTCAGTAAATGGCTTTTTCTCATTGTGTAGAAGCACTTGGGAGAGATTCCTTGAATAGTTGCTCCTCCAACGTTGAGTTCCTTTATCAGAATAACCAATTGAGATAAACATTAGTATTTATGCTCCACCAGATTTGAGACAAGTGTCTCAACTTGACCAAGGATCTAACCACTTGGTCACCCAGTCTAGACTGGGTCAAATGGACATCCATTGACCCAATAAGAACTGGAATATGGATCTAAATTATCCAACAACATTGGTATCTCCATGCATGAAAATGTTTTTAAATAAGCAATCAAATAAATTTGTTTTTATAGAAAATAAATAAATAGGTAATTATTTWAAAATAAATRATTGTGTGTGAGAGTGTTGCATGGAGATGACCATCAACTATCAATCATCAACATGTGGTTTGTCACATGGCCATTGGATATTCCAATATGTTGAGGATTAAACGAGGGCCTATGGCCACTCCACCATCATAATATGCCTGTACCAATGGCCCCATTTAATGTTTTATCCATCTGATGGTTCCCCTTATATTATTGTTGTTGTTATTGCTGTTGTTACAATTATGATTGTGTGTGCGCCAGCCAAATTCTTTAAATCCCATGGCCTGAGAAAAACCAAACAGAATGGTTTCCCTGGAAGCCTTCCATAGGCTCCAACCCAATCGATTACCTAAACATTGTATTTTTTTTGTGATGAATTTATGAAAGAAAAGCCATGATTACATGGAACCTAGAGCTGATGACACAAGTCCCTGTTGTTAGAACACCTGTACTGCTTGATCAAAAGGAGTTCCATAGATTCCTTGAAAGAAAGCTGATGCACTTTCCAAGAAAATTTCTTGCCTTTCCACTAAACCTTGTCGTTATGCACACCTATGATTCAGGGGTTGCACTCTACTTGGGTAGGCCGTAGCGAATCTGGATTTGCTATTCACAGCGCAGCACCTTGGGAACATCTCCCCATGAATAACAACACAAGTATGGGAGATGTTTTCAATGTGCGGCTGAGACGTGCTGTGAGCTTGGTGTGAAGAGCGTTCTGTGAGGAACAAACCCAGACTGGGTCATAGTTCCTGAGGTTCTGCTAATGAGACAATTCTTTATAGTCTATGTGCTACAAGTAAGACTGTGATGACACAGAGAAGTAAAAAAGGTAGGCGACCAGCAAGGGAAGTGCAGCTTTATCAGGTTGTTTAGATGATGGCCCGTTGAAGAAGTGCCCTTAACAACTGGGTTTAGACTAGACTGATGGTCTCTATGCGGCATGCAGCATAGCATTTTAGCACTTTCAGGAGATGCATCTTTGCAGAAATTCTTCTTTCTCTTCTCTCCCATGTGTCTGTGACTGTGTGTGCACATGCATACATGTTGTTTACTGAGTCCTTTCCTTATGTGTTATCTGGATTGGCAGGAGACAAAATCCTGCACATCAGACTGAGCTACTTGTCACAAGTGAATACACCAGTGTTCTGTATGCATAAGGTGGCACCATGTGTATGGATTCTACGGAAGGGCTCGTGATAAGGAGGGGTGTCAATTGGACTGGATTTGGTCAAATTCGTTCTAGTTCAATGTGAGTCCATTATAAATGGACCAGGTCTAATCCAATCCAATGAATGTTTTGGACCAATTTAAACTGGTCCAATTCAATGTCTGGACTGTCCAATCTGTTCAAATTAATTTTGATTTAGATTGATTTCAACCCAAACCCGGTCCATTGACACATATATTATTATTTTATATCAATGAACCAGATATTGACTTAATCCAATCCAATCTAATATAAATTTGTTATGGACGGACCAGGTCTAATCCAATCTAATAAATATTTTGGACTGGATTGGTATAATCCAATATATCTTGTTGGTCCATCCAATCCGTCCAAATTGATTTTGGACTGGATGGAGTCCAATCCAAATCCGGTCCATCGACACCCTTAGTGATAAGTAGCCCAGTTTGATTTGCATGATTGTCTCCAGCTCATTCGGTCTTCCAGTTCCAGAGGATCAACCGATCAACATAAGCGGGAATGGGAATGCTGTGCTGTAGATCTAACCTATATGCTAATAGGCCCTCTGCTTAAGCTTCACTTAAACCAAAATATTATTTTTTACATATATTCGGGTCTTATTGTAGCAGATTAGCTATTTCACTATTTCTTTGTCACGTTTTCACCGACTCCCTACCATTTTTCTGTGATTAGTATGTCAAGAAGATAGGATGCCCGTATGAGAAGTTTAAATGAAATGAATAAACACAAGAGAAATGCATCGTAAAATTGGAAAAAAAAAAGGAATATAGAGGAACTCTGAAATTCTGAATTTGCAAAAACTATTTATCCAGAGAAACATTAATGAAACATTATAACAGTTGAATTTTTATTGCTTCTTTTATCCCTTTAACCATAACTACTAGTCAGGACTCAGTTCTTAAGCATGGTTAAATTAAGTATTCATTTTCCAATATGTACATGTTACATGTCCCTCTTAGACTTTTCAATAGGGACTGCAGCTATACTCTTCATTTCATACGCTTCAAAGCTGAGATATACATTATTTAGGTGGTGCTAACTTTTTGAAATCCAACTTGTTTTATGCCTAACTGCTACCAATTAAGAATATTTTAGGCTCGAATGTCGGTAAGAAGAAAAGAATTGATAGAATTACTAAGGGTGTATATGTCCCAATTTTTGGTACTTGATAAAATGTAACTTCTTTGCTTGTTTGACTCATTGATATGTCAGGCCAATAAATAGACGAAGACTCTCTCTCTCTCAAGAATTTCCAGCTTGCTGTTTCTCGTCCCTGGAATCTTTTCTTTGGCTTGAATCTAACGCTGATTACTGTCCACTTATGATATCAATTTGCTTGCCAGGAATTCATGATTGAGCATCAACAAGCGCCTCTTCAACTCACTTTATTCATAATTTGCTAGTTTTTGATATAAGAGATCTTCCCTTATACATGTCTCATCTTTCTTCTTCTGTTTTTATCTCTTTGAGTTTCAGTCAGTTAGGCTCTGTTTGTTTGCAATGCAAATATACATTTTGCACCTGATTTTAGTTTTGCATGAATTTGTTTTATTACTATAATTTTCACTCTTACGTGATATAAATTTTGTTTTCGTTCGACTGATTTACACTCATCAGTCGTGCAAATTTTGCATCCCACCTTCCTCCTACCTCTCAATTCTCTCTTATATGAAGTAGAGATCACTTCACCTTGCGTGATCGTATTCACCACAAAACAAATAACCCTCCTACCTACATTCTCTTTTATATTTGTAAGGCGGTACCGAGAATGGAAAACTTATATGTTTCTTATTGAGTTTCAATTACTATTTATAATTACAAGGATAGTCGATCGGTTGCAGTGTAACAACGCAGCTAATCGACCAGACTGCAAATGGGCCAAATGGCACGTAGGCCCAAGACTCTGATCCTAACAATATTAGGTGGAAATCACATTATTTCACTTCTTACAAACAAATAAAACAAAATAAAATCTGAAACAAAAGTAAACCCCATTTTACATTCAGCGCTGAATGTAATGAAATTTACATGCATTTGATCCTTTGGCCTTGGGTAAGATGATGTGACAGGTTCTTTTTTAATATTTCATTGCACTTATTGCCTATCTACCTTCACTTTCAAGTATTACCCCTCGACCCCGTCATGCACATGGCTAACCCCATCTCTATTATTATCCTGTGCCTTGTGGGGGGTTCCTTGAGGGCACTGCCTTACCATATCAAATGATTTATAGTGTAGTTACTTGTTAGGAGTTGGTCAATTACAATGATGATAGCAGGAGAATGCGAATGTCTCTTAAGGCTTCTTTAGCTGTGGACCAGTTGCTGCTTCATCATCTTAAATTCTCAATTACAGTAACAGTACTCCACCACCACCCACACAATTCTCAACTCTTACATCCCATATCAAAGTTAATTAGAAAATTGGTAAAACCCAAAGCTGATAGATGCCCACCACATCTTATGTCAAAGATATTTGATTTTAAAGTCCTCTCTCTTGGAGTAGGTGACAGAAGATGTTCATATTCTCTGGACCTTAGATGAGAAGAAGCCATGAACCAAAAACCAGTAGGAGCAATAACAAGAGCTCCCGCATTAATTGGCGTATGTTACACAAACGAGTTAGTATTCTCTTCTGCTTTGTGATGCACCTTAGACCTTAGTATTTAATTTGTTGTCAACTTATTATACCGACTAGCGACTAGTGCATGGTTAGAATCGGTTCAAATCTGCTGCAAGCCTTCTTTCCAGAATTCGAGCCTGCATCAATACATCATTATAGCATGAAAGAGAGACGCAACCGTGGGATCCACCCAAGAGGCTGAGTTTTGTAGAAAGGAATGCAGCTACCCTACCCGTACTGACATGCGTCTGAGGGCGTGGCGTGTGATTATTACGAGCAGAGCGTGTCATTCCAAGCAACATTCCTTGCTGAACAGTTCTCTATCATAACAACGAAAGTTGAGACTGAAAGCTCCACTCTAATTGAAAGTTGAAACCCAGTAGAAAGATCTAATTGGATGGAGCTGGACTACAGAGTACTGAACCTGGAATACTTGGCATATTCCTTTCCCCTCACCCATGTAAGTTGAAACTATTTCATTTACGATATTCAAGAAGTACAAAAGACAGAGGTAATATGGGTTACCTTAGATCATGTGCCATGCTGTTACTAGAGCTTTTTACAATTTTAATACGAAAAGACTGAAACGTATTACATGCATGATCAAACAGAGTCTTTTCAATCCTTGAACAGTATCTGATTTGCTTGGCTACCTTCCTTACTATTATTGTAGCTGCATTCGAGAATACAACCTTCTACAACTACCCTCTTCATCTGTCATTTCCTGGTGCCATTTGTTCAACGCATTAAATAAAGTTCTGTCCCTTGTATTTTGGGCGAGAAAGAGAAATTCACTGATCTTCTTTCATGTTTTGTCTGGTCTAATCGCTCTAGATAACGTAATCTTGCACTCACTGTCACCTTATCCTTCACATCTTGGCTTAGAACTTATTTATTTATTTTTTAACTTATCTGGCACATGACCTTTCTCCTCCATAAGTGTTAAGACAAAACCCCTGTCCATTTGTTTTTGTTTTGTTAAACTTTGACATAATACGGGCTTAATTAATGTGTTGATGGCGGATTTTATAGACAAAGCCGACAAGGCCACGGGGATAGGTTTGGAGATGATTATTGACTGTTAAGTTTTAATTGCGTAGTACGGCATTGGTCGAAGATCCAAAAACATACATGTCAACCAAAGCCTGGATTTGTAATCTTTTGAGCGTGCTATGGCCTATGGGAGAGAAAAGGCTTAAGGCCAACGCTACCTTCTTCAGCAAGGACAGACAGGGATGGTTCTACCCATTTTAGTTTTTGATATCAAACCAAATCGATAATCCAAAGCCTCCAAACTCCCCCACTTGTAACCAATAAAATGAGATAGATAATAGAAGAAGTAGACTTTGAGGGAAAAATGGCCTAATAAGGTTTGAATCTATAATATATATATATATATATAATATTTTTAATTTTGAGGGTCGGAGGAATGTTAAAGAGTAATCCTTTATATTTTGGTTGATGTTTTGGAGGCCAAAAACCCACTTTATTAGGTTTAGATCCACCCTTCACTTGATAATCGCATATAAATAATGGTTTAATTTAATAAAAGGTTTGGGGAGCCAAGGACCCACTAAGATACTTGGCTCCGCCCATCATAGGAGGAAAAAATGTATATGGACATGAAGCAAAGATGGCCGTGAATTTTGCATTGTTCACCACAAATGAGACTGTAAATTTTGCATTGTTCACCACAAATGAGACTAACTGCTTCACATATTACATGGTAGATGCATGGATAATGGGTGTATTTAGAACTACTCTATTTCTTATCAGAAGATATTTGCTTGCTTTCTTTCACTGAAATTAAATCATGGGTAATCCAAAGTTCAAGCTGGGCATGATCAACTGCTTAACAGAAATGAAGAAATATTGCAGATTGAACTATAGCTTGTAAGTAAGAATAGATTTGATCAATTACGACCCAGATCTTTTCCTGCCGACGCTAGGATAGGATAGGATCGCCTACAACACTCATATCTCCCTACATATCCAAATACAGGGACTAACGACCATTAATATTTATGACAATTAAAACATATATGAGCCTTAGTCATGAGAATGTATCTATTACATATATAGAGAATCTGAGTCACGTCCGTAGCCTGAGCGAATGAATGTACCGAAAGCCCGTTGAGCATGTGCAGACTCATAGTCCGTCACCTTGGTTTCGGCCTGAAACCTCGACATTGGTGGTGCGAAGGACTCTGACCTGTGACATCTTCGTATCTCAAACGTTGCTTTGTCCGCTGGCACTCTATGTGCATTCCCTGCTACATTCAGTGCTTTCTGACTCCTGCATCCCAGTAGAATTCCAGGCCCCCGTCTTTGGACCTCTTTGGACGCTAAGTTCTTGGGTGTGGCCATGGTCTTGGTTTCATTTCTGGTGGTGGTGGTTGATTTGAGAATCATCCCATCAGAATCCGAAGTAATAGTTGATGGCGCCTCCGACGCTACTGAAAAATTGGCAGCGCTGGCGGTGACGACGCTCCACTCGATGCTTGCCTCGCTTGGCTCATAGCATGATGTGGGTGTAGCACAGCTTGATAGGGGCCACATGGCGTCGGACGTCTGCCTCATCAGGAACGGGTTGTCATTGCTCGACAGATTCTCGATCTCAAACAAGTCTGAACTAGCATCGCTCTCCATATCGTCGCACGCTCGGCCGCTGCCGGAAGTTGCTGTCGTGTTCTGGGCTCTAGGAATGGCGTCCCAAGTCAACATACTTAACTTCCTTTCTAGATTCAAGTTGACACCTCCATTCTGCAGGATAGGGGATCCGAACACCTCCAGTGACTTTCGGGGATTTGCTTCCTCCCGCCTCATCTCTTCAAACTGCCTTCTAATGGCCAGATTTTCCACCCCAGCATTAAACACGGGGAATGAAAAGCACTCTTCTCTGCCTAATCCAACGCTCACTTTATCAGGTTTCTGGCAACCCATTTCCTCTTTGAACTGGATTTGCTTATTTCCGACCAAATCAAATGCAACACGATCGATTTTGACGGCTTGTTTTTTTTGAACCCCATGAATGTCCTGACTGACCTTGGAATTTCTTGAGTTCTTGATCTCCCCAATTTCGTAGTCAATATCCACGGATTTCTTATCAGAACACACGCAATTGCAAGCGAAGCCCGGGAAAAATCTTCTGCTACGTGTCTTGCTTTGCTTACTTGGGGACGGGTATATGAAACGACTCGAAAGTAGCGCACTCCGGCTGTTATAACTTGCTTCTGAACAAGTACTCGGAGTTCCCAGTTTAACTTTTGATCTCCTGCGCTGTAGATCGACTGGCTCCTCCTCTTGCCTAGGTTGGTGGTGCTGCCTCGAACTTATCTCAGCAATTCTTGGCTTCTCCTCCTCCTCCTCCTCATCCATCCCACCGTTGAAGTATTTTTCTGCACCAAAGACATCGATTTCACCGTCTTCGGTTTTCTTTCTTCCTATGCTTATCTGGTGGAGAGGTTCTTGGGGGTCAATGAAGGTCGAAGATGGTTTCCGGGCAGACTCAGACAATTCTAGTATGAATGTCTGTTCGGAAGTACTAAGATAAGAGGAGAAAGATGCGCCTCGTTGATTGCTACTGTTATTTTCGTTGGGGAGGATGGTATTGCAGGCTGAGGTTATTGTGACCATAGCCATGGCGTACGTACGTTTTAACTTGGAAAAACCTTAATTTGCCAGATCGAAATAGGAGAGAAGGACTGGACCTAGGAGAAAATCTCGGCTCTAGAAGAGCCACATCACATCTGTTATAAGAAGCTTGATACGATCAGGCGCATGGCTTCAATGGAGAGCAAAACTTAGAAAGCGGATCGAGGTGTTCTGATGGTATCTAAAAAAGCGGGAAACTGGAAATGTTTTAGTGGGTGAGGAGAAGATCAATTAACTGGCGGAGAGAAGAAAAGTTCTGGTTTGGAAATTGGAAGGGCTGAGCCTGACTGAGACTACTTGGCTCCTGGAGAGTCGGTCGTCTGCTATAAGTAGACTTCACTTGAGGAGAGATACAAGACAGTACGTCGAGGATGGACCCTCATGCTGGTAGGCTGGTAAAATGAGCAAATCCACGTAATTTCCAAACCTACCTACAAAAAGATAAAAATTGAAGACCATACCATTACCTTTCTTTAGTAAGATATATGCTAGTTGCTAGATAAGGGGGTCCCGCCCTCACATTAATGACATTTTTTCTGACGTCAGATTGGGATCTACTTAATCACAGCAAAACCCATCTTGATTGGTCAAATATGATATATTCAAGGGCTTTTTGCCAGTGAACGTACGACAATACTTTGTTGATTGCTTTATGTGGATTCTAACTGCCCACAGACTATTTGGAATTTTGGACCCTTCAAACGATCTTTTTTTTCGAGTACAGAGAACTGGGCAACCATACGGGTCACGGGTCATGGGTCATCAGCCAATTAGGCATACAGCTAGCGATGCAGGTACTACCTTAGTTAAGGAATTCGATCCCCACTTTGCCAAAAGGAGAGCCACTCGATTGGAACCGCATGGTGGCCCATGTAAGCTAGTGATTCTTGAATGTCTTTTAAGGCCAGCTTTCTTCTGTGGAGATCACACAGTTCTGTGAGGGAAGAAACTGACATCTCCCGCTTTCTCTTTCATACTCGAAAATTCTCAAAGGCTGGACTCAAATGGAATTTGATTTTTGGAATGGTTGGGGTTGAGAAAGATAGAGAGGGGCTTACTGCCTTAATGGGGATACAAGGACGGTGCAGCTGTCCTGGATTTGAAATCAATAGTTTAAGAGCATCGCTTTTGTGATGGAATATTGGATCGAATCGTCTTCCTTTCATATTAAAGAAAGGGGTGAAGCATCCAGGACAAGGTTCTTTTTCCAGTTTTCCCCTTTTTCTTTAGTCAACAAAACTTAAACTGAGGCAGTTGCAAGTAATATCGAAGCTTTAATGGAGATCAGTGTCTATGTTATTATTGGGTGGGCAGTGCTAATTGATTGATCTGCCTAACCATCATTCTAAGGGTGTACAAGTATATATATACACAGAGGAAGCGAATCCAGGAGTCCGATGAGTAGACGGGCAAGAAAGAGATCGGCTTTTGTGCTCGCACAATTAAGCGTTGCATCTAGAATATCTCCGTACTTGTATGGAGAGATATTCCAATGTAAGGCTGCAATATCTCTGTACAAATAGAGTGAGCACAGTCTTGTGAGAAAACATCTTCCCATGTCCCACAACACATTCCCACCATTTATTGAAAACATCTTCTCATAATGGTACCAAAAATGATGATATTATCATTGGGAGATGTTCCCAATACAGGGCCGAGATGTGCTGTGGGATGTGGGGATGTCCAATTTATTTGAATTAGATTTTTACATTGGGCTTAAATTGAAATGAATTATTTATTTTATATTGTAAGGTCAGATTGGAGGATGCCTCAATCTTAGCCCAGCTTGAAGTTAAATAAAGTTATATTTTTAACCATAACCTAAGAGAAATTTCAAATCAAACTTATGGGTTGGATTTTAGATGGAGAATACATCCCATAGGTGCACTATAGAAAATTTCATCTAATCTCTATTCTTCATTTTCCCTCGTCTTTAGGCCCCCTCAAAAGAATATTCTTAGCTCCATCAATGTATACAATAACCAGTTTAAGTAGAGGGTACCTCCACCAAGACCAAAGATACAATTTTTCTCATTTCTTCAATCACTGTTGGAGGGTGGAGATGATGATTTTCTCGTGTCCCCGATCTCGTGGGGATGTTTGCTTAATAATGTATATGTTTGAATATATTTGAATCTATTTTGATATGATTGTAAAATGTAACATAACCATTTTATTTAAAAATTAATGTAACATAACCATTTTATTTAAAAATTAAAAATAAAATGAATTTGGCATAAAAAAAGAATTGGCGGAGATTGAACCCCATAGAACAGCAAACAGAGATAGGAAAAACCCTGTCCCATTGGTGGGGACCGGAATGGAGACAAGGATGGAGATCTTCGCAGGGACGGGGATGGGGAGTGGCTCCCATCCCCTACCCCGTTGGCAACCAGATAATGTTCGACCTCCATGTTTTATGGACCCATGTTCGGAGTCTGTTTTTTATGGGCCCAGCCCATGCCTAATCGGACCATCTTGGTCACTATTTGGTGGTGGATCACAATCCTTTACGTATGTCCCACCTGCAAATGACTATTCACTAAAAAAACTAATAAAGATAAAAGTTAAAAAAAAAAATGAAGTTGTTACATTAGAGGTCAGGGATTTTCGTATTCAAGGACAAAGGTTCGTGTCCATGCCGGAATTTCTGGTCCACAACTAGACATGAAGGACCCATGGATTTGGCCCATTGGTGACTGCTGTCTGATTCATCTAAAATTTAATAATGTTAATCCTATTCAACGGAAGATTAATTAGGGCGGCGTATGGAAAATCTTTCGGTGAGGTCTTCTAGGCTTCTCGAAGCCCAAAAGCTCAACTTTTGGGCTTTTTCCGTTTGGTAACAGAAGACGAGTAGCCCAAAAGATTGGATGTTCAAAGAGCCCGTGTAAGCTCAAAAATCTCCGAAATCGAGAAGCTCTACTTCAAGCTTTTGCAAATCTCGGGCCAATCTGTGTTAAACATATGCCAAGAAACTCACGATTGAGAAAATAATACAGGGTTCTTCGAAGAAAACCCCATTCCTTATCTTCGAGCTAATAACATTAAGACCAGTTAAATCATTTGGATTCGGATCAATCCGGTCAGATCAGATTAAACCGGTTCAGTCAATAACGGATTGAATTGGTTCTTCGAAGAAAACCCCACTCCTTATCTTCGAGCTAATAACATTAAGACCAGTTAAATCATTTGGATTCGGATCAATCCGGTCAGATCAGATTAAACCGGTTCAGTCAATAACGGATTGAATTGGACTGGCCCATATTGTGTTGTGCACCAGTTTGGGACCAAATCAGGTCAAGGGAAGTAAATTGAACCGGTCCAAATTTGGGCCATATTGTACAAATACAGGTCGGGCCGGTGACTCGAATTAGCCAAAGCAAGCGGGCCAGATCGTATCGGGCCTGGGTTGAACCAGTTCATCCAGGCCCACTTTGGATTCAGGTCAGTCCCAATTGGGCTGGGTTTGGACTGGATTGACTGACCCAAATGAACCAAACTGAGGTGATCGGGTCTGTTAATATTTAGACCGAGTTGAACTGGTCCGCACTTGGGTCGGGTTGATTTGGATTTATGTCGATTTGGGTGAAGTGTATTGATTCGAGGTAAAACTAATTTTAGTCAATAAATAATAAAAAAATGAATGCATTAATAATAAATTGTTTCACTCAAATGAAGAAAATTTAAAAAAAAGTTAAAGAATTAATATTCATATATTTAGTGATTAACCCAATGGTTAGCCACAACCCAACCTGACCCAATCCAATTAAATTGACCCAATAGATGATCAACCTATTTCCAACCCACCAAGTAAATGCATGGGTTGGGTGGATTCAGCCTATTGAGTGAGAAATTGCCACCCCTATCCACAAGGTACGATAATTTGAACGAATTAATTTAGAAGATACATTTTGTAAAATCTGTAAATTTAAGCTTTAGTTGTGGCCAAACTAGATGCCTCTGATCTCCATTTTATATCTGTAGTGAAGCCTACCCATATATTCTAATAATTCCTTCTATAAAAATAAAAGGGATTTCCTACCAACAAAACACGTTTTATTACTCTTCCAATCAAGTTTTAACATGATATTACACTCCATATATGATCATGAGATTGAGACCTATCATAAAATTGGTACCCATCATATATGAGATATGTAGTATTAGATCATCTTAGAAGGGTGTTAGAACGTATTTTGTTGGTAGGAGATTCCAACTCACAAATGTATGATATAGATGACAGGGATTCATTCAGTTTTGGTTACAAACACAATACTAATTGTAAATAATAATATCATCGGTAAAGCTGTTTGTAGAACCAATGATTAACTTCCGTGCCGGTAATAAAAATACATGGGATCCACAACTATTTAATTTCTCAATTCTCACTGTGAGCCCTGTGTATTTCACTACTAGCCTAAGACATTACCATTAGCTTCACAGCTTTTTTAACAGTTATGTGTGGGCAGCTAGTCTGAATTTGACTGGTTTAGGGAGTGTTTGACAACATGGTTCTTTTAATTTTTTAAAATAAAAACAAAATAAAAACAACCGATACATTAGAAAAATCAATTGCAAAATACAATGTATAGAATATTATTGGGCGACTGGATTAGGGGGTGGTAAATTCACTTTAACACCGACGAAAAAAATTTGTATCAGTTTAGTGATCGATGGAAAATGGAATTCGGTGGATTTGAATTTTTATGCTGATAATGTTTGGTTGTCACGGTGTAAATAGCTCTCCTTTACTTGAGAGAAAATGAAAGATTTACAAAATTAAAAAGCTATTTGATTAAAGGAAAGTACAAAATTAAAAAGCTATTTGATTAAAGGTGAACAAACGCACCATGGACATAAAAATAAGGGAATTCGCATAAAAACTAGGTCTCGACGGAGCAACAGCCGTTGCTGAAAGCGATCCCTTCAGGGAAGTGTTCGCTTGTAAGAGAAGAGAGTTGGGTCTCACTGCTCAAGGAGATTCTTGAACCAAGCAATTGGGTCTCACCGCTCAATAGGGCTGTTCACGGGTTGGGTTAGCTTGGTTTATTGGCGTTTTTTCAACCGACCCGACCTGATTGATTTACCTAAAAATGAAACTGAAACCGACCCAGTACTAAGTAAAACCGACTTGGTCGGTTTGAATCGGGTTGAATCGGTTTGGGTCGGTTTTGTGAATGATTCTCTCGGTGTGAACGGTAAAGGATTCAAGTCTAAGAAAAGCAAAGGCCGAATGCCTGAAAATTAAAAATGATTTGATGGATTTAAACTGATATTTTATATACCAGAAATTTTATATATAATATGTATATTTCTAAAACAAAGCTATATATATATATTTCCACAAATATATATCTGAAATATATATAGTAAAACTGAAACATATCATATATATATATATATTTGTATATATATATATAATATCTGAAATATATTATATATAATATATATCTAAATCGGTTCGGGTCGGTTCGGTTTTGATTTTCACACATGAAAACTGAAACTGAATCGAACCACCGGTTTATGTTTTTTTGTAACCCAAAACCGATCGATACTGAAGAAAAATCGGCCAACTCGGATTAAATCGGACCGGATTATTCGGTTTGGTCAATTTGGATCTTGTTATGAACAGCCCTACCGCTGATTCCCAAACCGAGTGACTGCTTAAAGGAAGTGTTTGCTTGCTGCTACTGTAACGGAGTTGGGTCTCATTGCTCAATACTAGGCATGGACGGAGTTGAGTCTCACCGTTCGTTGCTAATGTAACAGAGTTCGGTTTCAGTACTCCGTGCTCGGCATGGTCGGAGTTGGGTCTCGCTGCTCATTACTAATGTCAAATCCAAGAGAAAGAACAGGGGAGACCGTTGCAAGACAGAGAGGAGAAACGAGGTGACCGTTGGACAAAGGAAGATAAAGTTTTATATAGATTTTATCGATGTAAACTTTTCACTGATTTTCTATGAGTATATTGACAAGAATGAATTTTTACACAATTGACGAGGTATATTAACACCTATGACGAGGTATATTAACACTTCAAACAAACGCAACCTTAGACTGCGTTTAAATTTTGGGTGTAAATTCAGTTTTACACCCATGAAAAAGTTCATGTTGGTTCGATGATCGATGGAAAATAGAACCAGGTGAATTTAAATTTTTACGCTAATGATATTTGGTTGTCACAGTCTAAAGTGAAGGGCTTCCACTCTGTTTTTGCTCTGAAACTCTCCCTATCTCGGCAATGCAATGCCGAGAGACTAGTGTGTCATTTGCACATAATTTTCTCTTTGGAAAATATGAACTCGGGAACGTCTCTCTCTCGATATTCCCCGCCCTAGTCTCCTTCACCGCCATCCTCTTTCTCCGTGAGGTCCCACCGTCCTCTGGCTCCACCCAAGATGCAAATACAGACAAGGAGGCTCCGTGTGGAACCTCAATCTCAATGTTCTCGTAATGCACCTTGCTCATCGGGCTTATTATTAATCGTGGTCTCTTTGCTGCCTCCACCACCACCATGTCATTGGAACAACTCTCACTTCGTGTGGCTGGGTGGTGCAGACGACCGAGGAGCATTGCTACATGCTTCTCGGATGGTGGAAGGTCCAACCACAGTTGCCCTCCTCGTCACACAGTTGATCCTCTCCGACTCTTTTAATCCCAACGATTGGGACGTCAAACTTGATACTGCAACCGTCACCAATTTTAAATCAACCACCTCCCATTGTAAAAATGTTTTTTTTTCAGAGAAGAGGTGGGAACCCAAGCACATATATACCCCTCTGTTATGTCTTAGGAGAACTCACCCCTAAAAACAAGTTGTTAGAGGGAGGGAATCCAAACACATATATACCCCCAACAGCATCCCATACTATGTTGGATACTTCACATTAGCATCTCATACTACCAACATGAGACAAATGGATCCTAACACCCTCCTAGTCTAGAAATATCCATTTTACAAATGAATCTAGTAATACAATGATCAAAGAGACTTTGGATTTTATTTACATTTCATCTCTTTGTTAGGGATCAATTAGATCACTGATCACTTTTCTTATGAGACCCAGACTAGGTCTTGGGCCTATAGGATTAAAATTTGAGAGGTCCGCAATCCAAGGGTCATCCCAAATGTCAACCATTTCCCCGGTTGCAATACTCCAGCAAGCCCCTTCTTTCATTAAATCCTTGTCAAACTTTTAAATTAAAGCCCCAAGAGCAGTTAGAGGAAACCTTAAACTCCAAAAATATTTTGTTTTTTAAATACCTTCCTTCCATGATATCCACCCACATGCTGCCCCTATTTGTACAGAATCTCCAGGCTTGTTTGGCCAGTAAAACCAAATTGAACAAATGGGGTCTTTGAATCCTAATCCACATATGAATTTGCTCTTACACATCTTGGACCAGCTAATCCAATTTACCTTCTTTTGAATTTTTTGTTTTTCCCCACATGAATTTTCTCTGGGCTTTCCTTAGCTGATTGCTGATATCTTTTGGAATCAAGAAGCAAGACATAGCATAAGAAAGGATAGCTGACAGCACTGCTTTAATCAGTAACTCCTTCCCAAACAGAAGATGGAAAACTGACCTTAGGGACGGCAATTAGCTGGCAGCACTGATTCCCCCTCCCCCTACAGGGACCCCAATCCCCGACCAGTGTGATCCCCACTAAAATAAAATTGATAACATTATAAAAAATCATAGGGGAATGGGGATCCCCACGGGGATAGGGATAACCTTGTCCCTATTAGCGGGGATGAAAATTTTCGGGGATTTTCACAAGAACGGGGCCCTGCCCCGTTGCCATTCCTAATTGACCTTGCCGTTCATTCTTTCACAAGTAATTAAACATATTTATTTTTTATCTGCCCATAGAGGAAGGAAGGCCCATTATTTGAGGGATTTTTAACAAATTTGATATTTATAACTCTTGACATTATCCTTTGCAGCCTTGGGTGCATCTTAGGCTCAGTTTGGAAGCAGTACAATTGCAAATATGTACATGCAAAATATAAGGTTTTGCACTCTACATATTTGCATTTATACTCCTTCCAAACTCAACCTTAGGGTTAAAGAAAATTTCAGATTTAGATAAATTCACTTTCTGACCCGATCACTCCCCATAATTCTTAGACTTCCTTAATCATTCCTCCCTCAATGTTGGCTCTTCAAAAGGTATAAAAATCATATCGAAAAAAACCATCAGAGTGAGCATGGTGGAGGGCCAAAGATAGTATCTCATACACATTAGTAAATATTTAAAATCAATCTTATATATCCATTTATCTGAATTTGAATTTGAATTTAAATCCAATTCAATCAAGATGAATCCAAATTCCATCGTTTATAATTGAACTGATAGATCTACCTCAATATGTTCTGATCCAATTGTATAATATTTAAATGTTTACATTTATATTTATATCCACTTAAAAATTGTCATCACCGTCAAATTAATACTGAAAATATGTGAACACTATGATACTAGAAAAAAAATTATAACCAATAAGGAGAATATCACAAAAGTGATAACCAATCAGATGGTATGCATTAATCAAAGAGGAGTTTGATTGGTCAAATCTTTTTGGTATCGTACCTTCCTGCCTTCGAGATTTACCTGGCTTCACATAAAGTTAGGCTCTATTTGGTTCGTGGGAATAGGGGTTTGGAATCGGAATCAGAATGCAACTGTTTGGTTGGATGGAATTAGAATCTTATTCTCATTTCTGCTGGAATGACATTCTCCAATTTGAAGGAATGGCTATTCTCTGCCTCTTCCTTGGGAATGAAATCCCATTCCTGTTGGTTCTAATTCCCATTCCCATTATTGTTTGAACCAAACAGACTATGGGAATATACTGTTCCAGTTCGGATTCTAATTCTGATTCCAACTGCAAACTAAGTATATGTTTGGCATCAATGCTGCATATACAGCACCGTTTTTTTGATAAAACAATGTCTTTTTTTTTTTTTTGTTTGGAAACATTGCTGTCAGGTAGGACGTTTCTTGGGGCAACAACAAGACCTTTTGTTTGGTACCAGTGCTCCATATCTATTTTTAGCACTGGTACCTATTATAAAAGTCCACGTCACTGCCACATCATGTCCTCATTGGCAGCAATGAGCTCCAAATTAAGAAAATGTCGAATTCGACATTTCCCCAGACCATGCCTTATTGATTTCTAAGACATAGTTTGGAGTACCATTTTTTATGAAAAAACGGTTCCAAACATGTTACCATTTTTTGGAGCACCGATTTTTCCAATGTAATGCTGATGTATTACTATTTTTTGGGGCAATGGCATCAACGCCAAACAGCGCCTGAAACGGACCCTATGTTCTTACAAGAGTTAATATCAAGTCATTTTACAACATCAAATTTATCTTAGATTAATTTTATTAATCGCATTTAAAATACAAACCCATGCCATCCAAATCCATGGATTTGATTTGGGTCTTATTCTCATATCTGTGTAAGACGGCTTAAACTTTAGTTTTGATTATTGACATTTTAGGTTTCACCCAAAAGTCCAAACCCGACCCTGACTTCGAATCGTCCATTTTTGTTTGCATCAGGCAAGCGAAAATAGAAAACGACTCAATGGCTGTTCAGCGGGTTCTTGAACCAATAATAACGCCACACGTCAGTGATAAAGTGCTTGAGACTACAGAGAATTAGAGTTTCCAGAACCGGCTAAACAGTTATTACATCTTTTCACGTGTATTTTTTTGATAAATTCATTCACGTGTTCACCTACCTTACCTCCCTTAAAGTGTCTGAACATAGCTGAAACTTCTTCTAAAATTTGGTCTCCTTTCATAATTGTAAATGAACCTTCTCTCTTAAAATAACAAAAGAAGAGAGTTTAAAGTTGTAGTTTTACTTTTGAGCAATTGACATGGTGAATAAATTTGAAAAAAAATCAATATTAGAAAAGAGATTGGAGAGGTTTGAGATAGTATTGACATGAAGAAAAAAATTGAAAAATACACATTTTTGGTCAAAAGTAAATGTGGGCATTTTGGAGATTTTCATGCTTTTAAGAGGATTCTAACAGAGGGGTCTAATTCCAACTGCGACAAGAAATTCAGGGAAGGAAATTGCAACTATCAAAGTTTAAGGGAGGTTTCACCATTTGCCCAAAAAAATGGGGTGATGAAAACAATTTCAGTTAAAAAGAAAAGAATCCAAAAAGATCCGATCCGCTGAAAAAAGGGAATGTCAATGATTCACCGAGAGTTACATTGAAGTCAGACCAAAAGTCCAGTCAGAACCGAACCAAAGCAAATCGCGTGTCCCATTTGATTTCCTTGCTTCAACGCCTCTTAAAGACTCACGCACCAAAAGAACGAAACACCGAGAAAGTTGGAAGAAAAACGGAACTCGCTCATAAATTTGTTCGTTCCAAGAACATATGATCTATATAGATTGTTCTTTCAAAGGTTCAGGTGCTCTGATTTAACTGGATTCTCGACCTTCATCAGGTGGCTTAACCCATCGTTATCTGTTTCAACTGTTTTTGTTCGTTTATTTTTTAAATGTCTTGAATTTGAATTTCGTTATCTCCAAGGAAGCACGCGCAGTTAGGCGCTTTTTTTTCCATCTCTGTTTCGGTTATTTGGCTTTTTTTTGTTAATACTGTGGCGGTGGTGTTAATCGGATCTGAAGAACATGATATGTTTTAGAGCATCCATGGTTGGAGTTATTGGTGTTTTTACTTGTGTTTTATTCGTTTTTGTGTGTCGGAGAAGCTCAATTTCCTTGTACTTTAGGAATGGAGGCTCTGCCCCTGATAATTGTTTATGACACATTGTCATTGAGAAGTATATTGTCTTGAACTTTTATGTGTTTGTGTTCATCTGTTTCTGTTCTAACAATTCTTATTAAAGCCTGCTATTGTTGCAGGAATTTCTTTTGCTGCTACTCTCATCGTGCAGAGCATTAAGTTACTCAGCTATTCCAAAAATGTGTTCTGTTTCTTCAATAAAAGGTGTTGGCATTGGTTTTCCAGAGCAGAAAAGTTTCCATTCGAAGGGAAATTATTCTTTGTTCGGCTTCAATTTTCTAAGATTCAGGAGATGTGAAAGGCACGCGGAAAAGAAATTCTCATCCACTGTTGTTAGAGCTGCTATTGCGAAACCGGAAATTGATTTTTCTGATCCTTATTGGAAAAATAAGTTCAAGGAGGATTTTGAGAATCGGTTCGACCTACCACACCTGAGGGATGTCTTTGATATAAAGCCTATGCCAACTACGTTCTCTCTCCATAACAGGTAACCTTTCTTTTCTAGGCAATATATGTCTGTATTATATAAATAGTATACAGTTGAGCAGAGACCACAGAATGATATTCCTACAACCTTTTCCAGTTTTCCAATTCATTGTCTTTCATTCAATGAATTAAAACTTCCTCACTCCAGCATGTACATTTATAATCTCCTGCCTAGTTTTTCAAATATTTAGTTGTTTTTATTTCTTACCTCATCTGACTCTTGACATTAGCCATGTTATATATGTGCATCATAAACAAGTTCCCAATTGTTCTCAGTTATGTTCTACCTGTATTTCGCTCATCCTGTTGCTGCATTTACCATTATAATAATTGCTTCCGTGTTTGGTTGTGACAGAGGCTCTCAAATAGTGAGTGGTGCTGATTTGCCTGAGGATAGGAAAAATGGATACGTAAACGACGACGATAGGGCATTATTGAAGGTGTGTTATTGATCTGTGCTTGTGTGTTTTCTAGACTTCAAAAATCTGCAAGATCAAATTTTCTCCAAATATTAAGGGTGTTACTCTATTGCTTTAGGCCCTTGGCCTTTGGGTTGATTAACTGTTCTTTTTGTCTAGATGATCATAAACATTTGGCTTCACATTTTTCCAAGTCACACCTTATAATGTCAAAGCAGTTTTACTGGCAATTGGTTTTAATTCATCAAGATAGATATAGTTTGGTATTCATTGCCTCGTGTAAGGGGCAGCCAAGGGTTGACACTCAGCAACTAATAAGGTTACTTTGGGCTTGATTGGCTATAAAAGATCAAGCCTTCAGGTGTATCAAATTTCTTAGTTTTTCATAAATAACAAAGAAACCAATAACACTAGCGATGAAGCATTTTACTTGAAATGCATAACTTACTAAACAAATTTACTTAGCCAAAAAAATGCAGCAGTGCTACATGGTGGCAACTAGGCTACATATAGTATGTGCTTTTACCTGTCAGTACCAATTTGTTTAATTTTGTCAAGGAAGTTTGGTTTCTAACAAAGCATTGTTTAATTTTGTCAGTACCAATTAGTTTAAATCCATTCATAAATCATAGTATAAAAATTCACACGTCAAGAACAAGTCATCTCCAAAGTCGATTTAATTGGAGACTATTTGGATGTTATAGAACTTAATTTAAAATAGCAATTGTAAATTCCAGTCTTAGGTTGTTTGAATTCACTGGTCCATTTTCTGAAATAGATTCATCACCAATTGATAATAAAAATAAGTATGTCATTTTCTGGAAGCAGAGACTTGTCAGGTCAGATATGGCAATGCAAGGGCCAATGAAGTTTGTTGAAGAATACGGAACTCAAGGAAATATTGAGTTTCTAAAAATTATTAAATTAACATGTTGAAGCTTTTTTCTTTTGATAAAGGTAAAGTATGATTGTGTTAAAATTCAAAAGGTATACAAAGGTCCTCAGTACAAAGAGTTTCTGTACACAGACAAAATCCAACCAAGGACCCTCCAAAAATTTGGCAATCAAAAAAGAAGAATTACAAGTTTCCTTTAAACAACCTATGATTGGATGGTCCTGAGACACTTATTAGTAGAGAAAAAGAGGAGAAATAGGGAAGAAGAAGAGAAGAGAGAGAGAAGAGAGAAGAGAGAAGGGAGAAGAAAAGAGGAAGTGTTTGGAGAGTTCAAATATATTTGGCGGCACCAACTTATATTAATATATATAGAATGATCATAACATAATTAAAAGGGAAAATACCCTTATGCCCCTATGATTGTCACATAAATAATTATGCCACACATTATGAAGGCCCTTGGTGAAGATGTTTGCAAGTTGTTCTTCTGAGCTGACATACAGAATGCACACTTCTCCACTCACAAGTTTTTCTCCAATAAGATGTGTGTCCACTTCAATATGTTTTGTTCTATCATGGGGGATTGGGTTAGCAACATGTTGATAGCAGCTTTATGTCACATAGAGTGACATGGGTTTGTTAATTGCAAAACCCAGTTCACCTAATAGGTTTTTTGTCCACTTGATTTTAGCAACTCCATGAGACATAGCTTTGTATTCCGCTTCAGCACTGGACCTAGCCACCACACTTTTCTTCTTACTTCTACAGGTGACTAAGTTTCCTCCCACAAAGGTACAATACCCACTGGTAGACTTTCTATCATCAACTGCCCCTGCGTAATCAACATCTGTATACACTTAAACCTTCAAATGCCCATGTTTCTGGAATAGCAAACCAGCTCTTGGGAACTTCTTGAGGTATCTAAGGATCCTTTCTGCAACTTCAAAGTGAGTTGTCTTAGGATTATGCATGAACTAACTAAGGATAAGTTTCTATTTGTTGGAGCCAAAAAGTCTTTTTCTACAAAGGGTGATTTTGGAAGACAAGGCACTCATCCACATTCAGAAATGGAAAAGAAAACATGGACTGTCATCTCTTCCTTTTTAAAGAAAAAAATGATGTGGTATGGGAATCTAGAATAACATTTTAAAGAACAGAATTCAATGGGCTTTCAAAATCTGTCCGAACTGAAGTTGGTTTTCAAACTGTATATAGTGTGTATTAATACTCATCCTTTTTTTATTGAATCAGATTAAGTCTTAGATCATGCCATATGTATTAAAGACAGGCTAAAAAGTTGGGTGAAGTATAAGGAAATCAAGGAAAAGGTGTTGAGTTATTTAAAAAAATTATTATATGAAGAACAAGGATCGAAATTGTAAGAAATGATTTAAGCAGGTATAATTTAAAATGGATATGACATTAAACAGAACAGAATGATGAAACAAGATTCATGTAGCCAGCCCCATATGATGATGGTGATGAGCATTAGGGGTTTTCTGTGACCTTGCAACTAGAGATCACATATATTTTTCTAGAATTTAAGCCTCTAAGGTTAAAGAGGCTATGACAAGACAAATGAAGGAAAGAATTCAGAACCTAATGGTATCATTAAGAGTTTCGGAACCTATTGAAGAGGCATGATTATTATAACTAAGTTGTTAGACAAGATAATCTGAACAAGGAAATTGCATGATATGAAGAGTAACATGTTTCCTATGTGTATGAATAAATGCCATAAAGAACAATCTGATGCAAGTTGATGGGTCTAGAAGAGCTAGCTGAAATCAGAAAGGACATGGCATTGAGACAGTGAGAAATGATCCAAGGACATATTGTTCAATAGAAAATGACATTTGCTAGAGTGAAATGGAAAAATAGGCTTTGTTTTTCCAATCTATAGTTGGGATACAGAATGTTATATGCCATCTTTTAGAAAAAGGGTTCAAATATCTTTACAGGTTATCTCTGAATCCCAGTTAACACCCCCCCCCTCTTTCCTGAAAGTAAAAGTTAGTATCTTTCCAATTACCAATGAATATTATCTGCCAAGGTTTTGTTTCATTAATAACTTTGTTCTAAAATAAGTCACTTGTACTGTTGTACATCATAAAAAGTCCCTTAATATGATGTGGTTATGACTAGAAATCTTGATTAGCAGGTGATTTTCCATGATAATGACAGAGAGTTAGAATAAGCAGTATTAGTGTCTTTCATTCATTCTATCATTCCATGTAATGTTTCCAGTAACTTGTTTTCTTGCTTTGACATTGCTATTGCAGGTAGCATTATTTGTGAAAGTAACCGGGAAATAAGCTTATAAAAAATTCTTTTAATACAACAAGTCAAATATCATACCTCTGTTCTATTTATTTTGATTCTGTATAATCAATATTTTGTTTCATCAGGTTATCAAATATTCTTCACCAACTTCTGCTGGAGCAGAGTGCATTGATGCTGATTGCAGTTGGGTGGAGCAATGGTAATTTTATCACCGTATCTTCAATTATTGTTGTTCTTTTTTGCCCTTCTTTTCACCTTCTTTCTTTCTTTCTTTATATTTGAGTTTTTTTAAGGGGCGGGGAGGGGTGGGGGTGAGGTAGGATATACAAGTAATGTCTTTGTAACAATTATTTCTTGAAGACTTTTGGATTCCAGGCTCTGGTATCAACAGAAAGCGAGTTTACCAAATAAACTATTGGTTTGTTGACTGTTAATATGGTGAGAATTAATTTAGGAACCATGATGTGACATAAATTCCAGTGGCTTTACCAAGGGCTGTCAATGGATTGGATATCAATTAGGATCTTATCTGCTTAGCAAGATATGGGTCTTTTCATCTGTTTTATGAATTGGATCAAAGCTGGATCCACTCTGATTGAAATGATAAAGTTCAGAACTTACAATACTTCAATAAGGACTTGTCAATACATAATTATTAGTACAATTGGTTCAAGTGTTGTGTTTTTAACTAAAGAGTAGGTTAGGATTTGTTTGGAAGCCATTTTAGTTGATTTTATTAAGAATTACAATGTTCAAATCCTATTTAAAATCTGATTATTTAAATTCAAATCAAATATTGATGCAGGAGCAACCAAAAGAAGCTATAACTGTTCTATATTGAATCATATTACATAAATATCCAAGGAATGCTACACTGGTGTTACACCAAATCATAATTATGGTGGTCACGGGAAAATGCAAAAAGTTTCCTTAAGAATCTTCTAGGTTCCTTAGCTAGCAAGAAATAGTTAAGATCATTAATTATGAAGGTTTCCATGGAAAACTTCTAGGGTCCTTGGGAGAAGGAGAGGGGATTTTGGCTCTCTGTACCCAAGGGGAAGGGCTTGTAAAGCATGACTTGTTTGAGTGAATTTCAATTTACCCAAAGGGTGTTATGGGCCCACGGAATAGGATCTCGTCACGGGTCGGTCCACGGGGAAAACCTCCTGTTTTCCCTTGTTCCTCCCTTTTCTTGAGGAACCTATCTTGGCGCCTTAATGGTGATTTGTTCAAGAGATCACCAAACTCTCCTCTGCTCTCTTTCTTGACTGAAATTTTCRATGATCTTATTCAATATTCTCAGCTCCTTAAAT